ATCCAGTTTATGTCAATTTAGAGATTGACTCATGAGATCGGTTGACAAGCAACGAAGCCTATACCACCCAGAGGTGTTTATAAAGGTGGTAAAAAAATCAATAATTCGAGAAACCTTGAAAAAGAAAATCTTAAATGCTGTAACTCTGATTATAAGGTTTAGATAACATGGAAACTAGACACCACCGACCCTACCCCCACCCCCACACCCGTCCGCGCACACGATCACGCCATTCCTTCTGATTTTTGTATTGCATGTGTTGGAGTAAGCCGTTACAAACAAAGATTCGATGGCAGGGTTAATAATTCTGAGACTATGAGTAAGTAGTTGAACAAATCCAGTAAGTTTTTCTGACAAATAGCATACATCCGAGAATAATTGTATTTTGGTTTGGTTATTATTTAAGCATTCGCAGGAAATTGTTCTGACGCTTTAGATTACTAATGGAAATGATATAGGACCAAGATGAAATCCATTTACCATTCCAAATTATATAAAGAGTAAAGGGCCCAACTTAAGTCCAAATACAGAGAGTACGTGTGCCATTTAAGGCGGAATCCAAAGACAGAGAGTGGAACCCATTTGGAAACCAAATTCAGAGAGTGGGTTCATCTTTCAATTAAATATATGAAATAAATAATATCAATCCCTGATGTTTGATGATATCACAATGGGTTTAATAACTAATTTGGTAAAGAAAATACAGTAGAGGAAAATCGTTCTTAAAATATAGGACCGATAACGTGTTAGTAGAACACAGCTAGACTAAACTGTTAGGGATCGGATGTAGAGAGATTGATGGTTACCCGTTACAAAAACATGGCGTCATTGATTATTGTAAGTATAAAAAAAAAAACTGGTTTTATATCTGTTCAGATCATAGATTTGTTGTGTGTTGAATACAAACGGCTCACCATTGCAGTTCAATATTCAGACCTGTTGGAGTTTTCTTTGTAGGACACTTATCGATGCCACTATACTTGATAAATTCGACTTCTCACATATTTCAGAAGTTAACATAGTTAATATGTTTGTTGTACTTTTATTGTGCATTTGACGGATTGGGTGTTTTGGTAGAGCCTCGTGTTAATGGACCACAAAAGATGTACTATAAATTCTACAACACCTAAATACTGACTCATGACATTGTATTTTATTTCCCAACTAGCAGGATACCCGGCTTCGCTCGGGGGTCATAACTCCAAAACCGGAAGTGGTAGACTAACGCCACCTGGCCTATGCTATTCCCCGGTCCGAGCTACCCCTATACCCCAAATTTCAGACTCGGGGCAGACCTAGTGTAGCCGCCAACCCCGAATAGACAGACTTCGCTCGGGAGTCATAACTCCGAAACCGGAAGTGGTAGACTAACGCCACCTGGCCTATGTTACTCCTCGGTCCGAGCTACCCCTATACCCCAAATTTCAAACTCGGGGCAGACCTAGTGTGGCCGCCAACCCCAAACAGGCCGGCGCTTCGCTCGGGTGTCATAACTCCGAAACCGGAAGTGGTAGAATAACGCCACCTGGCCTATGTAACTCCTCGGTCCGAGCCACCCCTATACCCCAAATTTCAGACTCGGGGCAGACCTAGTGTGGCCGCCAACCCCGAACAGGCCGGCGCTTCGCTCGGGGGTCATAACTCCGAAACGGGAAGTGGTATAATAACGCCATCTGGCCTATGTAACTCCCCGGTCCGAGCTACCCCTATACCCCAAATTTCAGACTCGGGGCAGATCTAGCCGCCAACCCCGAACAGACAGATTCCGCTCGGGGGTCATAACTCCGAAACCGGAAGTGGTAGACTAACGTCACCTGGCCTATGTTACTCCCCGGTCCGAGTTACCCCTATACCCCAAATTTCAGACTCGGGGCAGACTTAGTGTAGCCGCCAACCCCAAACAGACCGGGGTCGCTCGGGGGTCATAACTCCGAAACCGGAAGTGGTAGACTAACGCCACCTGGCCTATGTTACTCCCCGATCCGAGCTACCCCTATACCCCAAATTTCAGACTCGGGGCAGACCTAGTGTAGCCACGAACCCCGAACAGACAGACAGACAGACAGACAGACAAACGACAGTCTCAAATATATATATAGAAGATAGATATCCGCGTTTTTCAGGTGAATAAATTATGCGGTACATTTTGATTGAACGGTTGTCTCCCTTTAAAGATCAAACTCGAACTCCCGACGGACTAAAATACATTTTATGACACGTCTTTATCTTATGAATGATCTGATATACCGTCGATTAACATTTTAAGTCATGCTTATTTTGTGCAGACTACCACAAAATTGGCCTTTTGTAGTGTCCGCTTAAATGATTCAAGAGGGAGAGAAAGAGGAAATGGGGTTTAACGCCCACTCGACACAAACTAGGTCATTTCGGGACTAACATATGGTTTAATTTCAATTCAATAATTCGCTTGCGCGTAGGGGTCTTTAGCAATGTGAGGAAACCGGAGGACCCGGGGAATACCCACGAGGTTAAATGATTCAACAATCAAGAGTTCAACTATTGATTTAAATATTTTGCCATTCAAACCTACACATTTTAACAAAGTCGTTTTTAAAACGTGCCTATACTATGAGACTGTATACGGTGCTATGTAGCGACAATAATTATATACTGGGGGATACAACTAAAGGAAGAAAACGAAGACTACAAAGGAAAGGAATTCGGATGTAGCGTTTTGATTCCATCTAGGTGAATTTTTATTTGTGATATGCCAAGGGTTCCAATTAAACGATTACATTATGGGTAGAATGAATTTCTAATTAGTTTAGTGTTGGCGTTTATTAATGAAAATATTTCGAGGGTTGAACCATCTTGTTAGGTTTATCTCAGCATTGGTTGAATGAAACAGAAATGACGTGATATCTTATAAGTATAAGTATACCTCTCACGAAATAATGATACCAAACCAAGAATCTCCCACCCCCACCTCGTAATAATAATCAATCTACTTACTTGTTAATCAAATTATATACAGTACACCTGTAATTACCTATAGCATGTACATGGCTTTATACCTGAACCCCACTAAACTGAAGTCCTACAGATAACCCAATAAAGGTCGAGTTTTCATAGATACCTTATCGATACCTCACTACTTACTGATAACAATTTAACATTGTAACTATCATAAATATTACCACTGTGTTTCACACGATCTATATATAACGATCTACCGATAATTTATACTCTTTTACTGTTCAGTAATAATTAAAGCTACAATTCCCAACTGACAATTAAAGATAAACTCGCTTACTGTTCTAATTATAAGATACAATTCTCAACCGATAATTTAAGAAACAATGCCGTATAAAATAAATTTGAAACGTAGCTCCAAATCATTATTAAAGGCCATTATTGCACAACGTTTGTTGAAATCCTTAGTTTTAAACAGTTTCCCTAGAACACTGATTTCCATTCAATTCCCATCGAACACATGTTGATCTCGCAATTCAAAGCAGTATAAAGAAAAGGCGAAGGTGTGTTTAGAGGGAGCTCCAGGATAAAATTTCAATGAAATATTTCCACGTGATCAGATAAATATACTAAAGAATATTCTTTGTACAAAAAAAAGACATACAACCATGCATAACATCATTTTGTAATCTAGTGAATTGTAGGTTTGTTATTTTGGTCGATTTTAGTGATCATGTTAAAGTCAGATACTGCTAATTATTGCATAATTTCTCAAAAGGCTGAAATAAAATCAAAAGTTAGAGAAGCTAGAAAGTTCAATTGTGAGGCTATTTTCTGAAAGTTACCAACGAAAGTATTTTTATTGTGAACATGTCTTGAGTATGAAGGGAGATAACTCCATTGTTATGTGTGGGAATAGAATGTAGACCACCACTAATTTTCCGGTTAACGTCAATGTTTTTCAAAAATGTTCGTTGGACTGAACGCCTTTCACTACAGACAGAGCAACAAATGACCATGTCTTTGCTCCAAATTATCCGTCGTACATCATTGTAACCAACCAATTAAATCTGTCATCATTTCGCCTCTAAATCATGAATATTTACCAAAACCAGACAGAAAATCTTAATTCAAACCGTCCAAGTCCCTCTTCTTCGCTGCTAGACCAAGAAATCAACTAAAATGGCCACGTAAAAGGGATGAAGAGGGAGAGAGGGGTAATTGCTATAGGTAACTACAAATGTTGAAATGTAATGGTGGTCTGCATCGTCAAATCTCAACTGATTTCAATTGGGCACACGTACTCTGTCCTGCTTGTTTTTCTCCATATTTCAAGCACGTCCAAATTATAAAGATAACCAAAATCTGGTAGAAAATTGAAATTCAAACTTTTTTCGTCTACTCTTGACCAAAAGTAAACAGATATTTGCAAGTAAAATGTGAGAAAATGACAGAAAGTATTGTCTATAATAAGCAGGACTAGAATGGGGGGGGGGGGAATAACTGTCGTCTACTTGGATTTCCCCTAACTTATTTTTGAGAACTCGACTTTTCATTTTATTTTACAACAGGGACTATTTTAGAGTCATTGTGAGAGTAAATGTAAGATTTAAAATAAAAGAATAAAAGTTTTAGGTTAGTATGCTCCTTGTCAACATACTTTATGAAAATTAAAATACATAGTTAAAAGGGCCTTTCGACTCAACCTTGCATTTCATATCTAAAAAAAGGTCTTTATGTTTGAACTTTTAGGGCCATTTCAGAAAAAGCATATTCTATAATTTCAATAAAAAGACTTAAAGCATAAAATCAATATTACGGACTTCAATAATTGCAAGACATGGCGTCATACTAGGTGCTTATTCGATATTCGGGATCGTCGGGGAGTGAATATGAGCACTTTCGTTAACCTGTATTTGTTCCTACGAACTGGATATTTTTTTTACAAATTATGCCGGTCATTAACATTTTGGCTTGTGTGGTGGGCTGTTTAACTCTAATTGTCACTCAATATGCATCTAACAAAAAAATGTCAATAATACTGATCGAGTCAAGACATGCAAATATTACACATTATAATTTATTATATCTTAAAATTCATCAAAATTATCACTATAGTGGGGTGAAAATTCTTCTTAAAAGCTAGCAAATATGATTTATAAAAAAATATAAAAAGCGGGAATATTTCATTTGACAGCAGCTAGTTTTCATATGTTTATGAGATGATAAACTGTACAACTATTCGTCATATATTTACAAGATAATACCTTTTCACATTTTACAAGTTTGTGAGAGCTAAAAAGGTCGTATATGTAGTATTTTTAAATCACTCTCTTCTTCAGTCAATAACAATAACTAATTACTTTATACCACTACTGGTAAATTTAAGTCGTTGATAAGAATCCGCTGTAGCACATATCTCTATGCTAAAATAATACTTGGAATGTGTTGAAACCTATTCTATCACATAAGTATGTAAAACTGGTCCACACCAACATTGCCCTTTAACCATATTATCCTCAATGGTAGCACCTTTTGAGAAGTCATCCGTTTCAGTGTTCGGATTTGGTTTCTTCGTTTGGAATGAACGATGCCAGTCCGGATCCTGTTACTATTTTCACACAGTTGCTAACGAAATTCGTCCCTTCTACGTCAATTTCTAACGAAATTCGTCCCTTCTACGTCAATCATTATGGAATTTTCGGCCATAGTCCAGACGTTGGAAACAAGACACATTTGTGTTTGAAAATAATTGTTGTTCACGTTTTATTGTTCTCCATCACAAACAATAAGGCCTTCTAACAAGCAGTTGCTATCGTATGGTTGTGGACTATCCAAAATTTCAAATGTGAAAAGAATATACCGAATTCAGAAACACTTTTCCGACTGAGTCACATTTGGTTGACAATGGCCATAACACTGTGCTGTCGGTGAGTTTACCAATACCATAACAGCGATTGAATAATTACAAGATAATTCTGTGGCTGCAACGGTTATCTCAGGGGAGACCGTTCATTGTTTCTAGTTGTACGAGTGCAGATATAAGACAAGAGAAGGCTCCTAAAGACAGACACACAACAGGCTCGAGAAAACAACCACTCCAAAAACTCCTGGTACATAACATTAATATAACTCGGGCATCTGAAATAGACATAATAAATGATTGTTTTAACGATCGGTTGTAACCTTGACCGTCACTATTCAAGCACTATCTTAAACGAAAAAGCAGACTTAACTTTTAATGAAAACAGCATATCCGAAACATGCAATGTTAAGCTGTTATATCGTGAATAAACAAGTCTTTCCGCACAGGGGCGCTATTATTGACTCTTAAAACTGTACTGAACATAGCAACATCCCCGTGTCCTTCTTGTCATTTCGGTGAAGATGCTTGCATCAGGAACTAATCCTCAAGCGCTACATATCTTGTTGTTCTTTTTCTTTGGGGGCGACGCTCCACCAATACAAGTACGACCGAAACTTGGCTTGCTTGTTCCTTGGGCAATTGCGGATTACGTCAATAATTCAAGATGGCCGCGAAACCGTCAAACTCGGGTCCTGATCCCTACATACGCTCTTACTTGTTTTTATATTTTATTATAATCTTAATCAGATATAGACGATTTGCAGAATTTAATATTGAATAGATGTAAAATAAATACAGCTTCTTTTATTCGTATTAATTATATATCTACACTAACCTGGGTGTTGACATAGTTTTTGTGTAATTTTCTTCCTTTTATCACAAGGAATAAGTTCTAGACTATCTACATCAGATACGCCAACTTGATAAATTACATTCTGTAAACCTAGATACGTCTTTAGTTCAATCTGTAATTTTAAAATGGATAAATTATAGAAGATACAAATCATAACCAATGGTAACTTGTAATAAAAGTACATTATGTAGCCCTGTTCAACATCAGATACGATCAGGTGATTTCGAACTTCTGGGGAGTAATACGGAGAGGTATTCACGACCATGGTCGCCATAGCAGCAGATTCCACTGTATGGGGAGCTTTGCGGCGATGAGGGCCATGGATGTTGGGGACACCTTTTTTCGATTTATGAAGATGGTTGATACAACAGAATGGGCGTTTAGTCATTGATGGTTTCGTTTTTGCCTTTATCAACACTATTATTTTAATTGTTGTTACACCCATTTCATTTTTATTTAATATTGGTTAAAATTACTGTCCTTAAACAGATAAAAGAAGGCAAAGTAATACTCACTAAAGATATGTACCACATTCGTTTAAACTTTTTAATATTTTTGGTTATTTGAAATACAGTCATTAGATGGTACATCATTATTATACATAATATAACAGCATTAATTATATTGACTTGGTTCCGACAAAAACATCCAACCTGAAACATAACAATATAATAATTATGATAAAGAACGGGAATGTTTGTTTATCTGCTCGGGTTTAGCGGCTTCACCAGGGCTGCCCGGGGTATGATAACACCAAATGAGTGTTGATAAGTCTAAAATGCCCCTAAGAGTAACTTATATTCACTTTGTTGGTAAAATATTGGGTAAAATTGGGTAAATCGCCCTGCCCCTTCACAACGAGTTAGCAAAATAGTAATGGTAAGTCAAAATCCAAGTAACCAGAAAGCAGAGTTCAATAAAAAAAAATAAACGCCACCTTAAGTAAGTCGGAAAACCAGATCATGATTTAAGAGTTGTGTAGAGAAAACAAATTTATTGAAGTTACATGACAAGTATATTCTTCTTTGATCTGTACACTCATACAGTTACTTCCAAGTAGACATCCGATGTACAAATTGCTGCAAGTGACTAAAAATCACATATTTTGTAAGAACATTTTTAATAATAGCTGATAATACTTACAGCAATAGCAACAAACGGATACAGTAGAAATATGTACCAGAATAAAAACGCAATGGCGTCGCCTATGATACTATATCGTCCACCGGTAGGAAATATATGCCAGAAACGCTCCTTGGCTGCAAATTTTCCATTTTCTTTCTCTAGGATAATTCCACAGTGAACCAAAAAATTGTGTTTAATGAATGGTCTGGAAAAAAAAATCAAATAACCTGGAGAAAGGAGTACTTCCGCCCAAATTATTGGGGGTTCTAAAGCCCTACCCAGTCCCACCCACACTCCACCGGGTCTGAGTTGCAAGTACACCTTGACGTGGTCTAAAGTGTTTGATTTTCAATATGACATGTTGGGACTATAAGAATAGTGAGAGAGAGAGAGAGAGAGAGAGAGAGAGAAATGGGGTTTAACGTCCACTCGACACAAATTAGGTCATTTCGGGACTAACACATGGTTCAATTTTATTTCAATCATTCGCTTGCGCGTAGGGGTCTTTAGCAGTGGGAGAAAACCGGAGGACCCGGAGAAAACCGACGAGGTTGGACAGGCGACCCTACTCCTTGTCACGTACAACCGGGGAATCGAAACACCGCCAGTTCACTCAATGACAGACCAGAATAGTTTGAATTCTTGTATCGGCCTGTAAGCATGTAAATATATGTGTGTTAAATCATATCTTGTATGTGATCTTTATAGTGTGGTTAAAATATATCTTGTGACAGTAGCAATAAAATACTTACCCGTACAGGATATTAACAAGGCGGCTAGTTGGTTTAATCTCAAGTTTAGTTTTGTCAAAATAGGTATACTTCGATGACTCCCTACCCGCCATGTTTTCTCCTATCTAACTTAAACAAGAAATATAAATAGCTATCGATATAATAGTCAGATGATTACGATTAAACATACATGTAGATACAGTTTTTTAAGTACTTATGGGGGTAATATTTCAACACACTAAAATGGAACTGTCAAATTAATCGTGTTACACAATCATTACACTAACTCATACTGGTGAAATAATAGTGGTTTTACAAAATGGACCACGAGCTCATAATGCACGCTGACTTTACTCCATAATGTATAAAAAAAATGTACTGCCAGTTCGTTGAAATATTTGGGGAAAAAATATACCTAAATAATACGTTGTTATGTCGTGACATAAGAACGAGTCGCTGATATTTTAATGCAAAGTTTTATAAGCTGTATTTGCACTATTTCTAGCATTGGTGATCAGAATATCACTTACTATACAAAGGTCGTCCTGTTTTCATCTGAATAAAATAAAACGTGGACCTTAAAAGAGATATCAAAATCCCACCTGTCTATCACGAGTCTCCGTGACTTTTAATTGACCTCTTAAAGGATCGGTAGCCGTTTGGGGATCTTCGCCGTCGATAATAAAAGATTTCGATTTGACATGATTTGACTATTAATTTCGGGTAGTAAAGTTAGATTTTATATAAAAATTGCATGCAGCAATCAAGACTGACCCCAAATATATTAAAATACTTGTTATCTCAGGATGCTGTGCCAAATCGGTCGGTTTGTGTCTTTTTTTCATAGACTGGACCTTGTCAGCTAAAATCAGATCTTTGATGAATTTAAACACGTTACTGAAAAACCTGACCTGCCTTATATTTAAGCCAACGAAAAGGAATCATATTATAATGGTGATAAATTTATGAACTATTTCTATTATATTCTTTCAATAATTCCTTCATCCATTCTTCATTCATTCAATTAACCGTTTCTATTATTCTTATATTTCTGTTAATCCCTCATTTTAATTAGACGTTAAGCTATACTAATCTATTGACAGACGCTTAACAGCTGACACATTAATGAGTTTAATTACTACCTTATTGTTTTATTTTATTGCAATGTCTTTTATATTCTAATCTTTCCTCTTTAATTGTTATTAGTATAGTTGGGGTATATTGTTAATTCCTTAGATACCATTTTATTATAAATACCGATTTGTACAATTATATAGCACTCTAGGTTTCATCCCGTTTCCAGGACAGTTACTCTGCTTGTCGGACGTGCTGTTCTCCGTATATGATGTTTAATGTTTTCCGGTAATAAATAGTGTCAAGGATAGTTCCAGTCTGTACTTATTATCGAAGATTTACACTGCTACAATATTCCTAAGCAACGACTTGCAGTGCCAATAAGATTTGTCTTCTGTCGTTAATACAAAATCAACCAAATCTTAATGGCGGTATGATAAATTGAGAAGTTTGAAAGAAAATACATGTATATCAAATGCTTCTACTTTATAGCATCCAAAAGATAACGGTTTAATAGACTAAAAGTTCTTACCTACGAATTTTCGCCTGTTTCAAAATATCACCCCATTCACTTGCCTGTTACTGGCAGAGCCTATAGAAGAAACATAAACCTTCAAGAATAATATAGTATGTGATAAATTCAGGTATTATTACTAAATTGTAAACTTGAATTCAAGATAGATTAAAAATAACATAACTTATTATATCATAACTTGGCAAGATGTAGTCATATCGGGAAACAGTTATTCACGATAGGGTCAACGTACCTGGTGTCAATTTGTAGGAAAAAAAAGCAGTGATCGGATGGACGTCAAACACATGCCCTGGTAATATTAATCATCGGTGCAGTTATAATACATAATGATGTATAATACATCGCAACGCATATAATATTGTAATGTGAATGTATATATATATTACATTCAATCGTGTCTTTTGTACTCTAATTTCAAATCAGTTATGTTCGGCGAAATACGCCAGAAGTCTCAATCGAATGGCAATCTCTCTACCGTCTGGTTATTCCAGTCTACACCGATAGTATTTATTGCGAATACTCTCCAACTTGTATAGAATATGTCTAGCTCCGTTCTGTGAGTCCCTTGTTACATTCGTGTACCAATGGTAAAATGTTTATTTTGTCTTAAATATTCGATACCAGAAGCCCATACTTTCCAGGTAAGATCACAACACCAATGTTGATTTAAACTGACAAATAATTCGTGCTTTCAATGTCGAAGACTTTGAAAGATATTGAGTTAGAGACTTTACTACTTTAATTAGAAAAAAGACAAAAATCGGTCGAATAGATAATACATTCATTTGTGCATCATCGTCGGAGATAAGTATTTTTGTAAATTTCATTAAGTTTTTCTCCTGGTGTTCCGTGTCTAATAACCTAGAAATAAATCGCACGAAATCACAAATCCATGATATATTGACCTCAACACACTAAAACCCGTCAATAAGACAGAAAAAAGATACCCTGTGTTTTGTTTTGTTATTTCCTACGTGTAAACTTTAAAATTGAAAATAGCAGGGTGTATATGACCTCAGAAACCACATCCACATGAACATCAAAAATATACATGGCATATCTTAAGACAACAGGATACATTATGCTCGTGACCATACAAAAATAATATGAGGGCGGTTTCTTTCGGATTATAAACTAAAAGAACAGTAACACAAATCGAACATTTGTCGTTTAAAAAATAGCGATTTCCTCTAAACACCAACTGAAATATGAATAGAAACTTTATACACTTTAAACTGTGTATATTATAGTTCACTCATATTAAAGGGGGTGTGGCTCTATTCTTTGGAACTTTAAAAAAGACGAAAATGGGTCTAAAAGTACATATTAGTGTAATATGGATGTTTATAAAGTGATATATATTACGCCTGATTGGTCCATTCTACACGTTTATTCAAAATTATTATTTTGTCGTTTGTCAATCAACTATTACTAATTACTTCCGCATTGTCTTATAGGATTTGTTCTTCTTTGTTCATTACAAATGGCGCCCGAAATCATAGAATGCACGACTTGTGTAGTGATTATAAAATGTTCATTGTATCTTAAATAATGGATATATGGATCCCATATTTTCACGGCATTTAGCAACATCAATATTGATTAAAATGGACCTATATTCGTGCTTTTAATCTAGAATATTATGGAAAATACTGATTTAGAGCCTAGGTTACCAACTTCGGGGTTGCTACCCCAACTGGGGTCGCGACGCACTTTTCATGGTGTCGTGGCGGACAACTCTAAACCTTTTGCTAAAAACATTTTAATCTCTGACCTAAACACCTCTTGCCACATTGCCAATCGTTCTTTCTCCTCTCAAGCTCACGATTTGCTTCTCCAGTCTCTCATTGCAGCATTTTGATCTGTAAATAATGATGACGTTTCATAGTAAAGGGTGACTTTGTTCTTCGAGCGGCCGCGATCAGATGATGGTTTCTGGAATGGGGTCGCAACTAACTAATGGTTGGGAATCACTTATTTAGAGGATTAGATCCTTTAAGTATAATATATACACTGTTTCGTGCATTGTGTGTGTTACTAGAAAGAAAGAAATATCTGAAAAGTCTTACTTTGATGGACAAAAACCAAATCACCGCCACCCTAATCTGAATTTCCATATCAACCAAGAGCACTGGATAATCAAGAAGGGTTAAGCATACTATGCCTTGTGTACGTAAATCTCTCAATCTAGGTGACATAACTTCCCAAAGAAACCAGAAGCGAAGTGGCATCGCTGGCTTTCGAGTCAGTAAGCATACACTATCTCGTGCATTAGAATTTAAAAATTGACAAAAATTTCTTTTTAACTTTGCGAACCCCAATTAGCAATCTGGCACTTTAAAATCTCATGTAAAAGCTAGAAAGAGAAATTTCCCAGTAGCACACGTCGTGACGTACGCCTCTCTTCCGTGTGTGCCGACATGTCAGATAATAAACCCCATTGCATTTCTAATATTTTGCCCATACAATGACATTATAGAGGGTGGGGGGGGGGGGTATATACATCTGAATGAAAATACCACAGACTAGTTTTATTGTGAAAAAAATCTTCACAGCATTTCACGAAGAATTTGTATTTGAGCGGATCAAGATAAAATGAACAACGTATTTTACTTGTAGCGGTGTAGATTGGGATACTAGTCATACGATAATCTGGTTGAACCATCCGCTGACATGTATACCCATTTAGACAACATTTAATAAACTATTTACAAAACAATACTAACTAGTTACGAAAAACAGATCATTAAATTTCAAACATTTGTGGTATTTGAATGACTTCCCACGATTTCATGTTACGCAAATCAACAAAACACGGGTTGAACAAATGATACGTGAAAACAGCAAAGCTAGATACACTTATAAAATATACAAAAACTGACAGAGAACAAAATATAACGAAAAGGTGTATAAAATTAAGGTATTTTTATTCCGATAATGGGGTGGGGGTGGGGGTGGGTGGCTGAATGGTTAGCACTTTTGCGCTGTATCATAAGGTCTATCATTGAGTCAACTGGCGTGGTTTCGATTGCCCGGTTGTACGTGTCCAACCTCCCATTGCTAAAGAGCCCTACGCGCAAGCGAATTATTGAAATAACCATATGTTAGTCCCGAAATGACCTATTTTGTGTCAAGTGGACGTTCAATTCCATTTCTCTCTCTATTCCGATAAAGACACAAATCTAGTACATTACCTCCCTTGTGGCAACCTGATTGCTTTTCCGGTTCAAAATGATCTCTGATTCTTATACTCCGATCTGGTCATCAGTGACTTGGATTGTGTGTTCCTTGTCGTTTTGGGGGTTTTTTTTCGGGGGGGGGGGGGGGGGTGTTAGTTACGGTAAAATTATAATTGCCCCCCACTCCCAATCATCCCCCCCCCACTCCCACACACACAAACCAGCAAGCAAGCAATTTGATCTCTCATCTAGACTAAAGGTGTGCTGACGACAGATAACTATTTTGAATATAACGCTAATATATAAATAATATCAATATAATAAATCAAGGACGGGGTTATTCATAACAACGGTTTTTGAGAATAAAGATTACCTCATATAAACACTGTATTTATGAATTATGATTACGTCGTAAACACTTTTGAAGCATGGATGACCAATCAACTCTAACCCAACCTTAACCGTAGCCAATTGAAGCTTTCAAGTATTCCCTTTTCTTGTGTATTATACTCAAGTCCCAATAAAAGTTTCCTTAACACTAACCCTTAATGCGAACAACCTCTTCCATAAATTAAAATGATATCCTTATCTCCAAGAAACTATATAAATAAAACGATGAATAAAAAACAGTTAACTCTAGGTTAACACGACATATCAACATTAGTATAAATAGTGCATATAATATGATATGGTTATACAGACATCTTATATCCTGAAGAACTTGACTCTTTTCCTGACTCAAGCGATCTTTCTCTTATTTGACTGCCAGTAAAGAAATAAATTAATTTTACACGTATGCATATTAAACTGGGTCATTATTTACAGATAAAATAGAATTTTCAACAAGGATACAGCAGAGCTGTCAAGCTATTTAAATATCTGACAATATAGTTTGGTTTTTTTATTTACAAATTATGAATGACCCTATTCGAAACTATGACTTCAAGTCATTTACTTTCTTTTATCTATTTATCGAGCACAAACCAATAATAGGTTAACTTTATAATGCTAAAAAAAAAAACATTCGAGAAAATATTATCGGACAAAATGTCAAACTTCCATAGAAATGGTAAAAAGTATTGTGATCAGCCTGAAAGCTGTGGGGGTGGCCGAATGGTTAGCGCGTGTGCGTTGTACCATAAGGTCTTTCATTGAGTCAACTGGCGTAATGTCGATTCCCAGGTTCTACGTGAAAGAGTAGGGTCACCTGTCCAACCTCGTGGTTTTTCTCCGGGTTCTCCGGTTAACTCCCACTGCTAAAGACCCCTACATGCAAGCCAATTACTGAAATAAAATTGAACCATAAGTCCCGAAATGACCTAGTTTGTGTCGAGTGGACTTTAAACCCCATCTCTCTCTCTTTCTCTCTCTCTCTCTCCCCCTCTCTCTCTCTCTCTAAAAGCAGTGTGCGTTGGGTGGGGAGGTGTCCTAATAAAATAAGGTATTATTTGAAGATGGTCTTGAATCGAAGAAACAATGTATAGGAGATAATCTACTGGACATGAAGTTAACTGCTCCAATACCAAATTGACCGGAAAGAAGGTTATGCAGGGATACAACATTATAATAAGCCACTATATGTCTGTATATGCACGGCATGGTTCAATTTAAGCCTCTTGTTTTCTGCTTTCAGAAATTCCAACGAGAGGGGTGCGAAACTTTTTAATAGATAATCTGACTTTTAGAAAAGTGGAAACTCACTGGAAATACCACGCTTACCTATGTGGGGGAGGGGCGGGGTCTGTGGGTCGTGTGGGTGCGCACATATTTGGTCGTACTATAAGTAATTAAGTAATATGTTTGATATCCCATATATTATGGTGTACCGGGCTAGCTGTAAACCTCTCCTCGATTCAGAACACTGCACTGCCAAAGACTACGTACATTATCCACAATATAGAATAACGAAATACAATTGTCATAAATGTGTTTACATGAATAGAACTGTGCTGAAAGGTATGATAAATATTTACAAATTCCTTCTACCTCCATGTATAAGTTTCAGTCACCGTAACGCATATTCGTGACAATAATATAGTATAGGATCTCATTCGTTCAGTTACCTATGTCCATTACATAAGATTTTATATCAGAATGTGGATATAAACTTTGCCATGGAAATAGTCAACCCTTCTAAATTGCAGACACACACATGCATAATCATAAAACATCATTACTTAGCACGAAATGTTCTGTAACATACCGGTAGATCTATATATAGAAACACGAGGCCACCTGTTTTGTATATCAGCGTAAACTTAATTTTAATTTTGAAGAAAGTATACTTATTAAGTTGATATATATTGATCGGATTTTCGCTGATTCGTGAATAACAACCTATTTCCAAACGATCAAGATATTTCTCTATAGTTGTTTAAAATATGTGTATTACAGCTTAAATGAAGTAAATTGTGTAATAAAAAGGATTCCTAAAATAGAAAATATTATGTGTAGACTATACATACTTGTTTCATGACGTCTTGGTTCTTGAAATTCTGTTTAGAGAGTATACTCCTGTAACTAAATGAAACATTCAAACATATCCAGAACTGGATTGTTTGAAGTTGATGCAAATGTTCATAGTTCTCGACATTTGTAATTATTATTTCTTATTTCGTGGTCCGTTTTTATGACTCGATATCACCTGTTCTGTAGTCTTAACACAAAGCTTCTGAAGTAGACCGTAACGTGACATATAAATACAGTGTATACACACAGACTTATATTGATCTATTACCGGGTTTTTATTATCATGTTAGATATATAGGACTACGGGTAAAAGGTCACCGAGGTTAAAGGTATAAGCTAGTGTTGAAAAGTGTTATTTATACAGTTGAAATTAAACAATGTGTGATAGTACATAGGTCTATATATAGTTCACATATTTACTGTTAGTTTATTTCACTGAAATAATTACGATAAAAAAAAAATGTACCTATGATTAACATAAGAAATATTATTTCCCCATCATTCACGATCTTATAATTGTCTATTCAGTAAAATTATCCTTGAATATTTATGAATGTTTAGACGGCTAAACCAGTCTAAAACGACGTGTTCTTATGACCCTGTATACCATTTTTTTTTTTTTTTGTATCGTTGGATTTTCCAAACAGGGGTCTGTTTCACCAAATAGATATAATCCAAATTTTAGTAATTTGATTGGATAATATTAGATATAGATATAATCCAAATTTTAGTAATTTGATTGGATAATATTAGATTGATTTTAGTGCTTGGCCAATCAAAATTGAAGTATCTACTAAAATTTGGATTTTATCTTTAGTTAAAATTTCGTGAAACAGGTCCCTGGTTTCAGTGGCAGAAGAAGGAGAGTCTGACAAAACGGTCTAATAGACAGCGACGAAAAACCGAGGTTCGGTATTTACCATTGACAGCATGTTAAAAATCTCCTGACAGATGGAGCCACGTGGTAACAGTGAAAAGGTGCTGGCCCACTAACAAATTGATCGAAAAGGTTCCACGGAATTTGTCAGCATGGTTTCGATACGAAAACAGTCCAAGTTGAACTTGAGTCCATTATACGTTTTTATTATTATTATTATTATTATTATTATTATTTTGTCGTTTGTGAATCAGTCATTACTAGTTAGGTCCGCATTGTCTTGTAGTTTTTCTTTGTTCATTACAAATGACACCCGAAACCATAGAAATACTCGACTCGTGTACTGATTTATAAAGGCAATTAAGAAATAATGACGAGCATTATTACACTACTTTGTAATTCGTTTGTATTCGGGCCTTTATACCATAGATTCCGGATTATACCGTTTGCGAACTTTTTATAACTGATTTATCAGATGCTTACAGCCACAAAATTAAGGATCTAATATGTTCGAAAAGTACTACGTCCAATCAAACAATCGAGTACGGGGAATGGTGTATTTTTTAGGCAATAATTTTATTGTAATGAGGTAGAGACTAGAGAGTTGTAGAATGGGCTACCAAATGTATCATTACAACTGATTACATCTCTAAATAAAATGGGGTTTAACTTCTACTTTTCTGCACCAATCGGGATAATTGCGGAAAGTGTACGCCTTGTGGTAATCTAAGATGAGGAGGGGTGCCCAGGCATTGTTACTACAGTCTATTCTTTTTTCGAATTCCAGCTGCCTGGGTTCTTTTAAGTGCACGCCGTTTTCACGGGATCTCGTTTTCCATCCCATACGAACGACTAGACGCGATTCTTGTTAGGCCATCTAATTTCAGGTCATCTTTATACGTTATCCATTCTTGATATTAGAGTTACATTAGGCTACACAGAAAACACATACAAAACATCCCGAACCAGAATTTTTGTTTTAAATATTATAATCAGTTCTATGAAGTACGTCCCATAAGTTCAAATTCTTCTCAACTACGTTCAGTAGGTATAAAAAATATTGTTATTTTGGTACATGTCGCGACCCCCGGTGCAGAGCCACGCCCATTTTCTCTTTGCGTGTCACTGTCAGCTACAGGCCGCAGTTTCTTGAAACATTGCATACCTATTCCATATACCCTAAAGATGGTTCCTATTGTTTTTGGTAAATTCCCGATCCACTGAGTCAAAGTAACGCCCATTTTTGCTTAGTGTGTCTGTGTGTTGCCTTTTTTGTCTGTAAATACTCTACAGGTTGCAATTATGAATATAGATTTTGTTCAAATTCAGCATATCAATCATATCAATAACAGGGTTATTATATTGTTCCATCTTCAGCACCCATGGGTAGAGCCACGCCCAATTTTTGTCTTTATCCTATACAGAATGCAATTCTTAATGGATCATCTTGGGACTTGGCATATTGCGTGTCTGTGTGTCAGCTGCAGGCCGCAATTTTTAATGTATCGTCTTGAAACTCTGCATCCCTATTCCTTATACTCTAAGGATGATCCCTATTGTTTTTGGCCAATGCCCCATCCCCAGGGGCAGAGTCACGCCCATTTTGCTTAGTGTGCCGTCTTTTTTGTCTGTAAATACTCTACAGGTTGCAATTATGAATAATTTTTGTGTATATCCTCTACAGACTGCAATTCTTAATGGATCATCTTGGGACTTGGCATATTTATTCCTTATACGGTAAAGACCGCAACTATTTATTTTGTTGCATGCCCTGATCCCCTAGGGTGGTGTCATACCCACCTTTTGTTAATTAGTATGTAAATTTTGGCAAAACAAACCCAATACATCGCTTTCTTTGTCTGATCTCCTTTCTTTGTCTCATCTCGTGTTAAAATTCACCCCACTACCTAATACATATACAAAGATTGTGGACACTCTAAATACGTGTTAAGAATCACAAATTCCTGGGTTATGCCCCATTTTCCAACAGCCTTGTAAACGCGATCGAGGCCACAGTTTTAAATGATTTTTCAAATTTGGTGCGAAGAATTGAGTCATGAGAGGATGAACCCTATCGATATTCAGAATTCCCTAACTTTCTGTTCTGGATTTATCTCCCTTTCTGAAAACCTTATGCTTGTGACAGAGATTACACTTCTCAACTGATTTATTTCAAATTTGATGTGAAGCATTTAAAATACAAACGCATTTCATTTTTTTGTAAAATAATTTACTTCATTTTTCCATTGAATAATATGCTAGGTATTGAATACAACAATTTATATGTTAAAATAGTATCAAATATACAGGTTAAGAAATAAAAGTCAATTGTTTTATATATACAATATAACATAAACTTCACTGTATGCACATCTTTCTATATAGACTTTATATTAATATATATAAACTTGTCCTTCTAATGTATAAACAATATAACAATATATCTACAAACATAAACTCACAGAACAGAATTATACATTTTAATTTCAAACCATTTTATCATTAAAAGGTTAAATAAAAGTTTTAAAAATAACTTAGCTCTGCATGGAGTTTTCAATATGCAAACAAACTATTAAAATCTTCACACCAGGAAAATTAAAGTTTTTATTAAATAGGTTTGAAAGTTATAAAATGTATATATTTTTGTTCTGTGAAGAAGACTGAGGAGAGATACAAAGAGACATGATAATAAAACTAGAACAAGAATAACATTACACAATAAAAACATTAACAGTTACAAACATTTCTAACAGATTTTGACAGGAGTAATTCTTTGAGAATACAATTTGTTTTCTGTTTTGACCAAACCAGTGTAACAAGTTAACTAAAATCAATAGCATTCAAATAATAGGATTCCTGATGCCTTACAAAGACACCTACAGTTTCATTTGTAGAAGATAAGGCCTGTTTCAATATATGAAACAAGATGACCATGAATGCTTAAATCAAGTATATTTTGACAATGACATGTATATATTTCTAAATAATAACCATTAATTCTAGTAATAAAACTACCATATATATCTTATCTATAGCTTATATAGAGATAACATTTCTAATAAAATAAAATAAAACCAAGTATGAACAATCCACAATCCAAACCATAGGACAAAATTTGAAAAATAGCATAGAACTGCAAAGGTTTATTTTATAATATGCTGTTGCAGAAAATACTCAATCAATGAGGACAGTAATCTAAATAAATTTACAGGTATCACATTTTCACAAAATTTTATATGGGGTCCTATTCACAAAGGCTTAAATCGATCCTAAAAAGAGGTTATATCTGCATTAAAATTTTAATACTCAGCCAATGAAAAAAGCAGCTTACTTAACAAGTTTTAGTTGAAGGTTCTTAAATAAGGTCCTAAAATACTTTGACTAAATAAAAACTATTTTTAATTTTGCAAACATATAAATATACCTATATCGATCCATAGTTTACAATCTACATGTATTCATGTGTCTACTTATATCGTTTTTTCCATAGGTATTCCATAGGTACTGTTAATTTATGTCATTCAAAAAAAACTTACTGTGACCTTTAACATATATTATTAACATGATTAAAGAGATATAAAAAGTATTGCTTTCCAGCTTTGTATTGCTTAATATACATAAATGGTCGTTAAATTACTGCTAGAATTTATCTCAGAAATAAAAACTAAACTAATATAATATGAAATTCCCACCAGAATTTATTTATTAATAATCCAGGTTCCAAGCATATTATCTGGGCAGATAAAATAATGCTGTTTTGGCGGCAATTTTGTGACAGGCTACACACCCTCATTAATGTTAATTTAAATAATTCTAAAAAATGTATGAATCCCCATCACATTTGATAAATTATGGATTCAACACTCCCAGGTTCTATTAGTAGTTGTATTGCCCAAAACAAAAGAATAAAAACTCTCACATAGAGAGAATCAAGTAAAATGAGTAGCTAGTAAATAAATTAACATTTTATTATGTTTTAACTTTAAAGATTTCTAAAAAAAAAAATTTTTCCAATATTCATTGAATAATTAAAACAAGTCTACATTACAACAAGACAAAACAGACATTATAGGAGTAGCAATTGCTTACAAATTAAATATTAGAAAAATATACATGTAAACCGCTGTTTTTACTACTAATAAGTGAATTTCTGGTTACACACGGATTCAAGTCCTTAGCTAAAACTTTAACAAACTTTGCTTATCTCAGTATTTTTTATACTACGAAATCTAGCAGGGCTGAGTAGGGGATTCATGGATATTTAACATTCCTAATATACATCATAAATTTTTACCAATATTATTCTTTATATGTACTAGTTTAACATATAGGTTTTTATTTATGTCATTTTCAGCGGTTACAGATGTAATTCATATAAAGGGAGGTCCGCCCCAGCTCCTCTAAAAATCGAAATTAGGAGCTTGCATTCATTTTGAAAACAAAAAGACATGGAGATTTTCCTCTTTTTAATTATGAATGATTTTTTCATTATGACTAAAATTGATGTTCTTCATGATTTTTTATATAAAATATTAGCTGCTTAAATCAGAAAACTAACTTTATAATAATCACCATAAGATTAAGAAATGGTTATTTACAATGAGTTTCGAATATTTTTCACAATTTTTCTTATGATAAAAAGATTCACATTCATCAATTGCATATGAAATCGAGTGAAAAAATATAAAAGAGTGCAAATGCATTCTGCATGCTTGTACAATAACTTTAAGGCAGGGCACTACTGTTCTTTGTAATGGTTAAATATTTATATTTTACAAAGCTAAATACATATATTCCAATATATTATGAAGTAATAATCATACAGTGTTATTAACTGATTATTGGATTATACTGTGTTCATAACTATACACTCAGTTATTTAATACCGGTATTATTTATTGGTTTTCTTTCCTACTCCATCTTTTTTATAACAATGCATGATTTCATACCTTCAAAATTTAACAACTAATAATTCAAATCAATCATCATTATTTCCCTGCACAGTAAAGGGAGATAACTCTGGCGTGTTTCCTCCAATTGACCAGCGATCTTTTAGAATTATAAAAATCATAATAAATATTATACAGTTAATAAAACCGAGGGGAGCTAAAATATCAACAAAGTGTAGAAAACAGCATTAAAATAGATATTCGAGAGTAAAACAAAGAGATATTTATGTAACAATCTAGTTAATATAATAATAAAAATCTAAAACTATAATCTTTTAGCTTCACTATTTGTTCTTTATGCTTCTTCTGATAATAGGGCTGCCAATTAATGTCAGAGAACAACAAAGTTGAAGAAAATAACAAGCTGAAGTCTTAAAGCTAATAATAATAATTAAGAAAAAACATTGACAATAAGGCCACATAGAAAATAGGTCTATCCTTCTTCTGTTCCTTCAGTGTGGTGTCATCGTATCATGGCCGTTTTGGAACTACGAGTAAGAGGAACCGATCTGAAATTAAAACAAAGTTTTAATTAGAAACACTTAAGGTAAATTTAAGGTAAATTGAGTTACATACAATGCATTATGTTAATTAAAACATAAGGCATCCGGTTAGAGTTTAAAAGTACACACATGCATTCTGTTAGATATAAAATAATTGTAAAGTAAATACACAATAAAAGATTAATGGTGCAAGGCTGAAATTAGACTTTCATGAATTAGAATACAATTCAATTATTTATTTTCTAAACTTCTAATATTCAGATGTATTATCTAATATTTTACTTAAAACACCCTTGCCATACACAGGCCTATAATACAATCACATCATGCTTATATTTATTACGAGACTACATCAAACCAAAACTAAATAAATTCACAATGACTATTAAATTCATTTTGGCACCCGTTACAATTTCCTTCAATCTTGTGGAGTCTTTATTGAAACCATATTAATTTATTAACAATAAATGAAATGAAATAGGGTCTAACGTCCTACTGTTCTGCTCCTGACTGGGCTAATGAAGACGGATTATCAAAAAATAAGGAAAACTAATCCTATATTTATTTTGGAATTTGGGAAAACCCTGTAAGTACTATTAAACAAAATTCAAAAGAGTCCTACATACATATTTGCTTATCTGTCTATTTTCCTTAAATTAATAGTACCAACTTTTATCAATATCCAATCTAATCTCCTTTATGACACCATAATAATGGAAATAAAACCCGGCTGGAACATTATGAGGTTTATCCACTAAGTCACCTATGACAACTTTGGGAAAATCCATGGTTCAAAGCATAGGACTACCTACAGAACATTATTACTAAGACAGATACATGTTGTAATCACTTGATTTTGTAATTGTTTATCATAATGTAAAGGAAAGAAATATCACCATGTGAACAAGTTGAAAATATACTTAAAAGTTAAAGTAAAATTTCTTAGACGACTCTTTCTGTCTTCTTTGTTGTTTTCATGAATCAGAATTTAATTTCCCTTTAGTTATAGCATAACCATATTAATTTTTAAAGAAATATAACCACTGTCCATCTTATTAATTTTTGATAAACTATAAAAACTAAACAAAAAACATCCATCTATTTTCTTTCAAACATAAGGTATCTGAGAAACAGTTCCAACTAAAATATTGTCAATAAATAACTCCTAACTCTACAAAGGCGCAAAATATGAAGCATACACAAAATGAATATGTCCTTTAAAAGATATAATATACTATTCAAAAAAAGTAGGGGATATTTGATTTTTAAGTGTTATTAAAGTCACCTAATGAAACTGACGAAGAAACAAATGACAAAATGAAATGAAGTTCACATTCATCGATTTATTCCAAATGATCGTTAGACTAAGTAAGGCACAGACTGACCATTATAAGGGTAAAATGATACCCAGGGTCAAACAGCAAAGTTACCACAGCATCACAACCAAGTCAGTAACGGGTAAATCCTCCTCTGTTTGCCAAACAAGCATTGATCCGACATGGCATACTCCTAATGAGATGTCTAAGGTCATTTTGGTCCAGACTGTCCCATTCCTGTTGCAACGCAGCAGCAAGTTCTTGGACATTGGCAGGACGTTGTTGACGTTGACGTAACCTCTGTCCAAGCATGTCCCAGACATGCTCGATGGGGAAGAGGTCGGGACTCAGTGCTGGCCAAGGTAATGTGGTGATGTTCTGTTGTTGGAGGTAACCTGTAACGATCCTGGCCCTGTGACATCTTGCGTTGTCATCCTGGAAGATGAAACGGTGGCCATGACGTCGTGCGAACGGCACAACATGGACTGCCAAGATGTTGTCCCGGTAGTACTGGCCTGTAACACGCCCTGCAACAACATGTAAAGCCGTTCTTCCAGCAACAGTGATGCCTCCCCACACCATAACAGAACCACCCCCAAATCGATCATGTCTGATGACGTTAACGTCTTGGAAGCGCTCGTTTCGACGACGCCACACCCTCCTACGTCTGTCCAAAAAATCAACAGTGAACCTTGACTCATCTGAAAACATCACATTGCTCCAGCGTCGATTATCCCAGTGTTGACGATCCCTACACCAACGACGTCTTGCCTGAATGTGATGATCTGGCCACTCACTCTCACACCAGTGTCTGTTTGAAGACGAGCGCTGATCTGATTTGCTGTGATGACACGATTTCTCAAGGCCAAGGTACGGATAAATCGATCCTGGGCTTGAGTTGTCGCCCTTGGTCGACCTGAGCGTGGTCTGTCCTGTACAGATTGTGTATCAAGGTATCTGGACCATAGCCTGCTTATGACAGACTGAGAAACATTCATCGTCCGCGCCAAAACCGCCTGTGTTGTGCCGATCTGTAGCATGCCAAGGGCACGTAACCTTTCATTTTGGGTAAGCCGACGCATATCAAAATTTGTTTTCTGGTCACTAAAACAATTAAACTGATGTTTCCACCCTGGAATTCAATGCCACAATGACTGTAACATTCAAAGTCAGAGCCGTGCAAATCTTGGGTTGGACCCCCATGATGATCCCAAGCATCACCTGCATTCCATGCGGTAGCTATTGGTGCGTTTGGGCGTCACATGTAACTGGAAATGTTTCTTCTGTTAGGTTCTATAGTGACTTTTTTCGTAGTCATTTGCATATTTTAGTATTATGCCCCCAAAATCAAATATCCCCTACTTTTTTTGAATAGTATATTAAGAAATTGAATTAATAAATAATAGTAGTAAAAGCTTTGTTAAAAAAATCATGCAATATGAAACTAAATACATGAATTAGTTAAGTTGAAATAACTAAAGCTGTGATCTACAAAAACAGGACAAATAAAAAAATAATTAAATCTCTCAATACTAATATGAGCTTATTTTAATTTACAGACTAGAGACAGATATATTTGTCTTAATCCATTAACTATTTATTCATCAATTTTCACTGATTTTGAGTATTATAATTGTTTTGTAGATGTTGTGGATCTTCATCAATTAAATATGGACTTCTGTTGTAAGGCCTGACAGCAATGAATACCTACTACTGGTATGCCTATTCTCCTCTTATTCCCCCTTGAAAATAGGTCTCAATACATTGTTACCTTAAAAATTTAATTTTGCAAGAAATAAAAAAAAAAACCACAGCACAGCAATTTAACTAAAATGTTGATACATAAATTAATTAATGGTTGAGTAGTAAGTGTGGTGATAGGTGCAGGTTTAATAGACTTACTGTATAGTTTGATCGTAAGTGATACTTATAAGGCCAGGAGGTGTAGTCCCCTATACTATTATAGATATCAGACGATCCTGATAAACGACTTGATGTATAGCCGTAATCATAACCTAGCTTGCTTGATACGCTATTAAACAAAAAATACAAGTCATATTTAAAATACACATTCATCAATAAACACTAAACTGTATTATTACATGTACAGTGTATATGTTAGTTCACAGAGAGGATGTTCAAATCCAACAATTCATCAACTGTTTCCATGAGTAAGAATTGTCCAAGAAGTACTTAATTTTATTCTTTTTCAAACATGTTAGACTAGACTGTCTGAACATCCTCTCCATCACATTTGTGAACTACTACTAACTACACACATGATATTGCAGTATTATCTGCCAACAAATATTAGTATCTATCTACTGTGCCAAGACATTATAAATTACAATTTCAGTACAATGTATACTAATTTGTAGTTATTCATGCCATTAAATATTATAACACTACCAATTCAGTATCCTTTTATTCCTATATGTACATGTAACTAATAGATCCAAACTCTATAAAATCATACTATAGTACAATGTGTGGTAAAAAAAAAAATTGTAAAAATATCTGATCTATACATTATTTGACAAATTACATTTTCAATTAAAACAATAAATAAAAGATATGTAATGAGCAAAAAAAATGTATATATTATTAGTGAATTAGGACTAAATTATAGATGTGCTAGGGATGAGAATAATAAGAATTAATAAGCATTCTAGTTTCAAGTATAAATTCAGGATCCAAACTTTGAATAATAAATCTAATCAAGTGGAGGGTTTAAAATATCCATTTCCATTACAAGCGGTAAACACAGTTCACATTTTTGCAAGAATTACAAGTTCGGGTTTATTCCATTTGGGTTCTGCAATGCCCCGGTCATCTTTTAGGGGTAAATAAGATTTCTACCACACACTCAGAAATGATTTTTAACATCTAAATAAAATGCAGCTTATTTTTAGACCAACAGGAACAATTTTTCCATGAAAGATGATAGACGGGCTAGTCTGTCATCTTTCGCACCATTAGCATCAAAATATATGTATAGACAAAATTACTGTTAGAAACAAACACATCAAAATCACAAATCAGTTGACAAACACATCTACCTAAAATGGGGATGTTTGAAAGGATAAATCCAAGACAATCAAGAAAAAAGCAAAACATCACTTTTAAATTACAATAACCTATCATAATACCTAATAACAAAATTGATCAAAAAAAAAAAAACAACAAAAAAAAACCCAAACCCACACTAAAACTCAAGTGGACTGGATTAAATAAATAATAACAAACACTCAAACTTAAGCGGTCTGGATTAAATAATCAATTAAATACCGGTACTGTTAATATCTTATGGAAAGTTTAATCTTACTTATAAACACAGCCTGTACAGCCACATATAAATTAACAGGTGAATCACCAATATTAGATAAATAACTGTAGTAGATACAGTTAACAATCGTTCAATATAAGAACATGTGACCATATAACAGATTAGTGGTCCTATACATGTCTACCAACGGGGTATGTACATGTGTACTCCCAAATTTTTCGATTAATTTCTTTTCATGAAAAGGTAATATCTATTGACAGAATCAACACAGTAGTCATACTTCTCTATACAAAATAGTAAACTAAAAGTCATACAATCCTCAAATATACCGGTAATCCAGCCACTTTGACAACAATTAAGCATTCACATTTCATATGTAGTGGTAAATGATATATAGATCAAGCAAACACAAAAACATAATTTGGGGTAAAAAAAAAAATCCAGTACGACATCAAAATTTATGACATTGTGTTTTACCTAGAATTCACATTTTTCCTCAAACTATATGATTGATGTTTTCTACAAATGAAATCAATCAAAATCAATTACATTTTTTTAATACAGGTTTCTAATCTTCTGAATTATATTGCCCATATTCCTTCCAAGATATAATAAGTTCTCCTCCAAAGAGGAAAAAGTCAGCTTAAAGTATTCCAAAATGAACACCTATCATTTGTAATAGCCCAGTTTCTCTAATACGTGTATCTTGTTTTGTAATAGGCATCACAGGCTATGTATCAAGTATCTTTCAACCTTGACCACAACAGTTTCATTTTCTAAATATTTGACTCCAAATAATGCATACCGAAAATGAAATTACTTAATAACAGTGCAATGTGTGATGAATTATGAAATTTTAGTCTGCTTCACACCACATTAATTTCTAAAATCAAAAGATTGACAAACCTTTTGGCGCTCGGTGATGAGCCTGGTGAAAGGCGTGTACTACGTTTTGTTGTACTTGCATTAGCCTGGTTGTGAGCTAGCACTGATGAGGAAGCTTTCGATGTTTTGATGGGCGAAGAAACCCCTTGTGCACTTTTTGAACCAGACATTCTTAATGGTTGTGTTGTGGTTCTTTTGTGGGTTTTCGGATCTTCAGCCCTAATAAAACAAACACAAACAGTATAAAATACTGATATTTTGAAATGAAATGAATCCAAACAGTATAAGGATATCGATATTTTGAATTCATAAATGTCAATTCTGATTATTTGATTGCAAGGGTTTAATAGGCAGAGATCACAATCAACAAATCCAGTTAATTAAACCATATACACAAGGAAAATAATAAAATAGACCCTTAATGATGGTGTTACATACATGCAGTTTTGTCCATCTTTTATACTTACATTTTGGTATATAAGTCAAAATTACACGAAATGATGTCAAAACTGATAAACTTTTACAAACAACTAAGTAAAACAATTAACATGTACAGTTCCTTACCCAACTGTGCCAGTAGTTGCTGAGCGGACATGCTTTCTCATCATTTTAATTTGGTTTAGTTTATCTCCCTGGGTTTCAATAATAGAACTTCTAGTGATTGGACCAGAATATATCTATAAAATAAATAGAAAACAAATTTTCAGGAAATTTTATCAACTTATAAATAAAACTTTTTAAGATCTGAAATCGACACCAACCGTAAAACCATTTTCTATGCATTCCCGAATTTTCAGGATTTATGACAGAAAATAAGTCAAAGCATCATATTCTTAATAAAAGTTAATATAAATGTGAACGAGAAGATCAGTCATATCACCTTTTCTGATATTTTGTGGCAAAAAGAAATAAAAAATTGTTGAATTTGATAAAAGGTACAGGTTGTGCAGGAACTGTTATCAGAAGGGGCTGTTTCTTTGCCGTTTCCACTTACACTGTCATAATTGCTGTAATACCGATCATTTTCCTGTCCATCATGTAATCGCATATCATCAACACCTGATAATATTTTCGAAACACAACCTTGTTTCTCTCCCCTTGCTCTTTCTTTCTGTTTGGCTCTATATAGATCACCTTGCATCCAAAGCCAAGCCTGCTTCCTGAAATTTAAAGGGGCATTATGGTAGATTATATAAAGGGTTGACAGTTCTTGCCATATTAAACCAGCGGTTGCCAGGCAAGATACGCCCACATTTTGCAAGAGATGGATAGAGAACAAGCTAAAAAAAAAAAGAGGGATTTTTCGTACAATCAGGGGCCTTAATCCAGGAAGTTATGGTCTGAAATGTGCGAATATCAAAATGGAGTGAAATATTTGGGATATAAAGATATATTTTAAAGTTTCATCAAAATCGGATTAAAATTGTGACTTCTAGAGGGTCCAAAACCTTCTTATTACATACTTTTACACTATTAGCGTACAAGGAGCGGCCATTTTGTCAGGCAGTTTCGGTCTGATTTCCACGAAATTCGAACTCAACCAACATTACAGTGTAACAGTGATATATTCAAACTTTTTTTTTTAAATAGGATAATAATTGTGACCTCAATATGGACCACAAGCTCAAAAATGCAATTTTTCGTTCAATCAGGGGCATAATTCCGGAAGTTATGATCCGATATGAGCAAATCTCGAAAGGAACCGAGATCTTTGGGTAATATACATACATTTCAAGTTTCATCAAAACCAGATAAAAATTGTGACTTCTAGAGTGTCCACAAGCTAAAAACGTGATTTTTCCTACAATCAGAGGCCATAATCCATGAAGTTTGGATCTGATACATGCCAATATCGAAAGGAATAGATCTTTTGGAGGTAAACCTATATTTCAAGTTTTGTCAAAATCGTATAAGAATTGTGACCTGTGGAATCAGGGGCATAATTCCGGAAGTTATGATCCGATATGAGCAAATCTCGAAAGGAACCGAGATCTTTGGGTAATATACATACATTTCAAGTTTCATCAAAACCAGATAAAAATTGTGACTTCTAGAGTGTCCACAAGCTAAAAACGTGATTTTTCCTACAATCAGAGGCCATAATCCATGAAGTTTGGATCTGATACATGCCAATATCGAAAGGAATAGATCTTTTGGAGGTAAACCTATATTTCAAGTTTTGTCAAAATCGTATAAGAATTGTGACCTGTGGAAGGGAGAGAGAGAGAGAAATGGGGTTTAACGTCCACTCGACACAAACTAGGTCATTTCGGGACTAACATATGGTTTTAATTTTATTTCAATAATTCGCTTGCGCGTAGGGGTCTTTAGCAGTGGGAGGAAACCGGAGGACCCGGAGAAAACCCACGAGGTTGGACAGGCGGACCTGTGGAAGGACGTTCGGACGAACAGGGGTGACGACAAAATACGTCCACATGAAAATGTGGGGTATAAAAATAGATAATGTAAATAGAATATATGTATGCTGAAAATTTCAGCATATGTGTGCTGAAAATTTCAGCATATGTGTGCTGAAAATTTCAGCATATGTGTGCTGAAAATGTGTGTTTAATTATAAAATCTGGGCATAAATTTTCAGAAGAAACACAGAAAAATCTGTTAGAATGAATTAATTTGAATACAATGTTAACCTCCAATTCTTCTTTCAAAAGCGACCATTTTAAACTAAACTGAAGCAGGTCTATAAAAATAATAACTTTCACTATTTCATTTGAAACAAAGGATGCTTATATACTTGAAGTAGAAAAAAAAAGTGAATAAAAATAATAGTAATGACACACACATCAGCAACTTGACATTGGGTTTTCCCTTTTAAACTATTAACTTACTCTTCTAGAAAATGTTGCTGTGGTCCTATAACTGATCCTGGTCTACAGATTCTGTTCCATGCTATACATTCACCTGCTGTCATTTTATAATGTTTCATTATATAACAACATATTAAACTTCCTGTTCTTCCCAACCCAGCTACAAAATAACAAATATCATTAATTAGTTCCAAATATAATGTTCTGTACACATAATGTAACACTGGTGGTACTGCAGCACTCCATAAATTTTTATCACATAGGTTAGCATGCAAAGCAACACCACATTACATTATTAATAAAATATAAAATATAATATGAAATATCTTCAAAGAGCTTTAAAAGGTACTATTTTAATTACCTTTACAGTGAACTGCAATTCCCCCATCACAATTTTCTGATAATTCTAAAAACTGTCGGACAATTGAATCACTGGGTACACTACCATCAATAAAGAATAAATCTGTATGATCGAAACCTGCATCTGTAAATCTCCTGGCATCATATATCTTTTTATTTAATCTTACGATGTGGGTGACATTATGCTTTCTAAAATACGGAAAATAAGCTTCTGGTGCATGTAGTGGATAACCTAAAAAAGTCAAAATAAATACTTATTTGAAAAAAGGGTGAAAAAAACATTTATTTTTACATAATAATGTTATTTTAAATAATTCGAATGTAAAGTCTAAGTATAATCTACTTTATGCAGACATTGAATTACATGCATGTTAAAAATGTTCATAGTTTAACAAAACATTCATTATGTAATTTATAAGGGTTTGTTGAATTGCTTCTTTTTTTTTTCTTTTTTTTTTTGGTTCAATGTGTTACTATCAACTTTATACAGGATATAAAGTGTGTCATCATCTTCTATACTTGTATCCTTACGACGACGTAGGGAGCAAACCGACAAAACCAGCTTTACTTATTCTTAAAACACGATTGCTGAAAGTATATTTTTTATCCTTTTTCACAGCAGAACAGGACATAGTCAAACATATTTTTATATTATCTATAATTAATCCGAAGTCATTTATAGCAGATAGCATAATAATAGTCTGCATAATCAACATATTACATGTATAGCAAAGCTTATAATGATTAGTTATTTAACACAGCTTATGGTTTATAGTATACACAGACATAATACAGCGAGAGGATTATCATGTACAACATACATAACACATAGACCAATTAGTATACATGTATTATACAATAAAGTCATGAATCATAGTAATAATACATTAATCCAAGTAAATACATGTAGTATTACATATCCATGAGTCAATGACAGTTTTATCAAAATTAGATGATCTTAGTTTTTCTACACTATAATGTCTTTCAAAAAAATTGAATTTGCAGTTATTAAGTGTAACAATATGTATAAAGTATCATGAGCTCATTGTGTATCAAATTTTAAATTTTTAAAAAATATAAAAAATTAAGTATAAAGGCTAAAGTATCTAAATATACTTTCTAAAAATGAAAGATCAATAAGTACCACTTCATTACCAATAAAAAATGAAAGTGAAATGTCAACTAAATTCAAAAATAAATAGATAAATACAGAAATAAAGTCTACATGCTAATGACTAAAACAAAGAGCAAATTCTACGACTTTGGCATACCACTGTCGAGGCGTGTTTTTGGGTGCGGACCACTGAATGCAAGAAACTTCTTTGGAAGAATCCAGTTAAGATCTCCATTTTCAACTCGCTGTTAAAAAAAAATCCATGCACACAAAAACATTAAAATACATGTACTTGGTTAATAAACATATAAGACTCCATCATTTCATTCAAGGTCAACTTAATCTTTATCTTTATTTTTAGGTGAAAAAGACACATATTTGATTTCAGTGAATGAAACCACAATAGATATATCCATAAATATAACATTTATAAATGTCATGTGGTTGATATGTAAATAATGAAATTCCTTCTCTTTCACCTCAATAAAGTGGTAACAAGATGACCTTTCAAGAAACAAGCTGTTTTTCTAAGGTTAAGTAAACAAACCTTCACATTTTCTGTTTTACTAAAAACACCAGGTTTTACACATTTGAATAAAAAGTGCATTACAGATATTTAATAAACATTCCACATGTGAAAACAATCTTATTTTTCTTGAATATTTACCAATTTAACTTATTTTATCTCAAAATGTTTCAACTTACTACTGAAATTTAAATTTTGGGGGCTTACTTAATTTCTAATAAAAACTGAGCAAAGCACAGTAAACAAGTTCATGTTGTATAATTTATGTTAAACTGATGTCACATAACCTTTTTCCATGTAAGCTAAACTATGTAATGTGTCAAATTAATGACAATGTAATATATATATCTTGTCGCCATTTCTGTCATCTTATAAAAGCATTTTAATGTTTTAAGAATCTTTATTAAGCTTGTTATGCACTGAACCCATAAATATATTTGTCACGCTTTCACCGTTCCTAAACAAGTATGTCTCGTTTAATGCTATGTGAAGGCATGTTAAATAACCTGATGAAAACTTGGAAGTCGACACAAATAAAACATTAATACATGTATTTAGCAACATTTCCCATTCAATTACCATTTTCTATCCTGGATTTGGCATGAGGACCACAAAAAGCCAAGTATTTATTAGGTACTATCCAGTTGAAATCTCCATTTTCTACTTTCTGTAAATACACTTAGTGTTCATTTTCATCATCATTAATCCAAAGAAAAGTAATTTTTCTTGAATCATGTTGATTATCATCACGATACACAAAACCAATTTGAAACCAGCGGTTGCCAGGCAAGATACGCCCACATTTAGCAAGAGGTGGATAGAGAACAAGCTAAAAAAAAAAAAAAGAAGCAATTTCTCGTACAGTCAGGGGCCATAATCCAGGAAGTTATGGTCTGAAATGCACAAATATCGAAAGTGACTGAGATATTTGGGATATAAAGATGTATTTTAAGTTTCATCAAAATCGGATAAAAATAGTGACTTCTAGAGGGTCCACAAACCTTGGTACATGTATTACAAACGTTTACACTACTTGCACACAAGGATTGGCCATTTTTTCAAGCAGTTCTGGTCCAATTTTCACGATATTCGAACTCAACTGTCATTAGGGTGTAATGGTGATAAATTTAAAATGTTTTTTTAAAATCAGATAAAAATTGTGACCTCTACAGTGTTCACAAGCATAATACATGATTTTTCGTACAATCAGGGGCCATAATCCAGGAAGTTCAGGTCCAAAATGCGCTTTTCACGAAATTCGAGTTCAACCATTATTAGGGTGTAACGGTGAAATATTCGAACGTTTTTAAAATGGGATAATAATTGTGACCTCTTAGAGGGACCACAAGCTAAAAGCATGATTTTTCGCATCAGGGTAATATATACATACATTTCAAGTTTTATCAAAATCAGATAAAATTGTGGACCGTCCACAAGATAAAAACGTGATTTTTCAAATAATCAGGGGCCATAATAAGTTACGGTCCGATATATGCCAATATCAAAAGGAATCGAGGTCTATATGGATATAAACCTATATTTCAAGTTTCGTCAAAATCAGATAAAAATTGTGACCTATATAGTGTCCACAAGCAAATTGTGGACAGACAGATAGATGGATGGAAGTCTGGACGGACAGATAGATGGACAGACGTCTGAACGGACAGGGGCGACAACAATATACGTCCACATGAAAATGTGGGCGTATAAAAATATAATTCTACAATTTATGTATGTGCACAATTACATAAAAAAAACTTTATAATTACTTAGTCAACCAAAATTAGTTGACTTAGAAACAATTGAGAGAGAGAGATAGAAATGGGGTTTAATGTCCACTCAACACAAACTAGGTCATTTCGGGACTAACATATGGTTCAATTTTATTTCCATAATTCGCTTGCGCGTAGGGGTCTTTAGCAGTGGGAGGAACCGGAGGACCCGGAAAAAAACCCCACGAGGTTGGACAGGTGAAGAAACAATTGAAGAAAATCAAGATTAATTGAATTTGATGGTCGAAATATTAAATACTTTCATACCTCGTAATGTTCATATTCATCTACATCAAAATTTTCAAAATCAAAGAAACCATTTGATAAAGCCTGAAATACAAACAGAAAGAATTCAGTTATTTATTATTCATTATTTGAAAGACAATTTTCAACCCAACTGTGGTCGTGAACTGAAAAAACCCCCAGCAAAATTGGGATGAAGGTGCTACATGAACATGTAAGACATGCTAGGAAATCGCAAGTTTGTCTGGCTTACACAAATGTGATTCACGCTAGCATTAGTGTAGTTATTTCTTGAAGTATTTCCATTTGTTCATCTTTATACATGTAATCATAGATTATGCCCCAGCCGATTCTTGTGTGTATTGTATGCAGAAGAGCGAAAATATTCCCATCAGATTCAGATTTACTGATATGAATTAATTATATTATCGAGATCCAAAAGTATAAACATGAACTTTCATGCACCAGTCTGGTGCAAGAGTACAGTACTAATATTTTACAAAGTCCTCCAATTGCTTGCAGTCTAAACATGTTCAAATTTTACACTCTATAGTCAAAATTAACAAATGATTTGAGAATAGCAAAATAGTCCTTTCATTTCATTACAAATTGCTGCCATATCGACACATGATAGATATGCAGTGATATCGGTTTGACAGAAATAAATGATTTACTGTTGCTGACTCAGCAAATCCTGCCCCCCACAAACCTCATGTACATGTATAATGAAAGTCAAGCATTTAAATTAGAACGTTAAACATGATCAGATTCATCGTGATTACAGTAACTGCTGATCTGATGGTATTGGAATTATGTAGATTTTACCTTGCTAATAGCTTGAAGACAATCTAGTAATGTAAGATTATATGTACATGGACCAAAGGAAGCATCTCTGTAACAAACAAAACAAATACATGTAATGAACAGATTTTCACTTTTCAGTATGTACATGTAGACGTAGTGAATCTACATATAGAACTACACAAATATATCTTTATGACATTCAAGAAAATACAGAATATAAAATATAATATCATTATTATCTGGACATTTGTATTAAGTACAGTACATATATATATAGTGATTGCCACATAAGATTGTAGACATACATGTACGTGTATATGTTATAGAAGCCATATAATTGTACAGTACATCACAGGCAATTGCATCAACATGTACTCAGAAATTCTTTTAAAACAATATTGTAGTTTTATTTTCTATATAAATTGGTTTTGTACCAACAGATGTAAATTTTGTTGATGTAGAAATATGGAAAAGTCACACATACATATTTTTATCATACATGTACATGTACATGCACATGTATGTATTTCAGAAATCTGATTATTTTTGAATTTGTGAGATCGTGTCAGTAGAAGATAAGAAGATTTATAATGTTTCTTGCAGAATGGAGAGTTGTAAACACATGAATTGTAAACACAAGAATATGTATCAGCAACCTTGACCTGACCCAAAGATTATTTACATCAATATAACAGGTGTCAGCTTCTGACCTACATACAGTTTTCTCTACTATATACATGTAAATGTACACACTTTATACTATAGCATATTACTATCCCTGGATTCACTGCAATGCTATTTAAATTAAATTTGTTTTATGGTTGTAGAGGTTATTGCAAGTCATATTGTAGCCGAATATAAATAACACAAGTGAAGAGTACATGTACACTAATTTTACACCAAGTCCAAGTTATGAGTGAATGTCAAATATTTGCTTACTCTACAACGATGTAAATAAAAACTTTAATATAGATAGACTAGCTTCCATGATAAAATCTGTAATTTTATTCTATAACTACATGCAAATATCATTGAATACAGCCACTGAATACATGTAACCTATGGCTGTAAATTCAATGGCTTGGACACATACTACTTTTGTCCAGAATGACATCACTTTCAGAATTACGTCAAACTGTAATGATGTCACCACTAGGCAACCACAGTTTTTTGATAGAACAGTGTATGTCGAGATTTGCATGTAGTTATAGAATAAAATTACAATGGTCATTGAGTTCTATGTATTTCTGGTAGGTAGTAATATAAGAATTTATGTACACTAAATTTTGTAACTTGATTCAATAGTTTTCAAGATGACCTGAGCCTTTAGTCACTTCAAGTACAGTGTATATTATTATAAAGTATTATGAATGAATGAATGAAATGGGGTTTAACATCCTACTTTAATATATAAATAAGTAAATATTCTATTCGGTTAGCTTATGTGTACATGTATAATGACTCATTATCAAGATCAGCTAAAGTAGCCTTACAAGGTAAGATGTCAGTGGCACATTGGGCGGGTCAGGGGTTGAAGAGAGATCGGCCATAAGCATAATTCTTATAGCTTTTTCCGCCCTTTATGATGCAATTCAAAAAGGTTTTGTATAATTGGTCAAGTGCTGAGAGTAAATAAATATCCTAGTTGAGTGCTACAGTAAAAGAGATTTAAAACCACTTGTCCCTCTAAAACACTATCTAAATATAGTCAAAACCCTGAACCTCTTTAGAATAAACAAACATATATGTAACGAGTACAATAATATCCACACAATCAATACTTCTCCATTAAGAAACACCTACATTAATAATTTGCCTTAATTTTTATTGAATTTTCTCTATCCCAGATATTTGTCTATAAATAGAAATAAATTGATTTTCTATTGTTCACAAGCTTATTGAATAAAATATAGGAATTCATGTACTACAATAATTTCTTTCTGACCACCACTAGTCTTGCTCTATTTCTAACCACCTGATCTAGATTTATTCATAATCACCTGTTGATTGAGACTACCCTAAATGAAGACATTTCAACTTGTTTCTATAGATTATGAATGAAGTAACATAGTAACCTGATATTATGTTTACATGTAATTGTAAATCCATATCATACATTATTATTTAGTAATAGTACACTCTTTTACTTTAGGCCATGAGGGGGGGTTGGATTGCACTGTCACTGAGTCAACTAGCGTGGTTATTGAAATAAAATTGAACTCTCTCAATTACTAGTTAGTACACTCCTTAGGCCATACCAATTTGAATTCTTTGGGAACACCTATTATTTTTTGCTTTTTATTTCTTTGAGAAAAAATTAATTTCATACCAAAAGTACTTGGCTTTTCTTTTCAAATTCAAATGCTAAAGTTTTGAAATTTTAACAAAACATTCTGTCTCTATTGATCAAAACCCTGAACTAAAAATTAAATTGCTTAAGCCTTTAAATGTAAGCAGATACAGTCTATAGAGGAAACTCTACACATGCAATATTGTATGACACCCCTTTCAACTAGAATCAATGTTTCTCCATTTAAGATTATTCAGTTTCTATTCATTCCTCAAACAAGTACACAAAATGTAAGCTGAGCTATTTTCTCACCTGAATGGTAAGAATGGTGGATTAGACCCGGATACTAAAGGTTTATAAGCTTCCGCTGGGGTTTTCTTTAAATAAATTACCTGGAAAAATAATAGGTGTGAAACAAGCACTCAGAAATAAAATTTACCTTTAACTTTCATACAAAATGAGTGTAAATCTGCCTCTTCCAACGTATTGAATTATAAAATTACATGTGTAAAAAATTGTAAATTACATGAACTCTGTCAATCAAAGATATAAATACTGTTATAGTAAAATATGACTTTTATTAGTAAACTTGCTCCACAAGACGAATTTTATCATGATTTTATCAGGAAATTAAAGGATCTGATCATCATTTGGGGATGATTTTTCTTTTATCACTACATATGTAGAACACCTAACGTGTAAAATAGGAATTAAAGTCCAAAAATGGCTCAGTATTGTTTCAGTATTTACAAAAATATGATACATTGAAAATTTGTCAACATTTGACATCCTCTGAAGAGTGATATGGTCAAAACATTTCTTGACATCTTAGTATGGGTTAGGATTAAGGCAATAAAACATTAGATTTTATCCCCAAAATGCAAAATGATGATCAGTGGATTTAACATTATTGAATTATAAATCATTAGTAGAAAATCATTTGATAACATAAGGATAGTAATGTAAGGACAAGTATGTACATGTAGTTATGTTGCTTAGATAAAAAAAAAAACAACATTGATTATCAACTGTCAGACAGTCGAGTGTAGTACTCAATAATTTTAAAATCAATTAAGTTTTCTCAATCTCATAATCATATTATGGAGAACAGGGCTGACCTTAAAAATATCTTTGTTTCACCAAACCCGACCCACAATCGAGGAGAAGGGTCGGTAGGTCGGTTTTTTTTTCAGATTTTTTTTTAAAGTCAGAGAAATCAATACAGAAAACTTATTAGCTGTATACTACAGATTCATTAATTTTGTTTAATGAATTTGGGGTCTGACGTAAAAAGTAACGAACTGAAAGTTTTTATTAAACTTAAGAGCTAATTTGACAGCTTAATAATTTTCCGGGTGGAAACATTCGTCTTCTTTATTGGCAAACAAATCAATGACATCGGGATTTTTCGTGATGCCCGACTCGCACACGATTAGCCACGAACTTGAAGTGTGAAACTCCTTCAACATGTTTTTAACGATAGTGCGCGTTGTGCTTTCATTTTTCTCGAAAACGGATATTGAAAATATCGTCGTCATGTTTAAAACTACGCACCACAGACATAGAGGCAGAATTATTTCGTGGGAATGGACGTGTATTCGTCTGCAACCATTTTGTTGAGAAGCGACACCTATGACGCTTTCGTCTTGATCAACCAGTTTCAATAATGAATCAAACCATAGCCATAGTATAGGGAAATAACTCTCATGATATATTTCAGGTTGACACACAAAATAAAATAAAAAGATCGTGGAAAAGTGCAATAAAATAATTTAAGTCGGGGGTGGTTTTAGTTAGTCGGTCGCGTTAGGCGAAACAAAGATATTTTTAAGGTCAGCCCAGTAAGAAACTATTTTTACTTTACATCATAAATACATGTATCATAACAAATTTTTAAAATGAGCATTTATTTTCACACGTAATTTATTGTCAGACCTAAAAGTTTTTTGGGAAAGAAAAAAAACAAACTTACAGCATATGCACCAATAAGGAATGCTGCATTAGCACGTTTTCTAGCATCAAAACTTGTATAATGAATTATCTTCTTTTTGGCTAAAGAAAAAGACTGAAACAAAAAAACAGAGTGAGTAGAAGAAAATATAATACACTACGGTACAGCAGTATAAGCTTGAAGATTCAGATCAAATTTGATTATCAAAGCCTACATAATTCACTATTTCTAAAACATTTTCAATACCATGTTACATGCTACACGTACATGGTTTGGATTCATTTGAAGCAAATGATTCTACAGAGAATCTGAGCCGGCTCCTTACCTACAAAACAAATCGCTAACTTTGATATTCGGAAAATTTTGATACCAATGTAATGTACATGTACAATGTACCATGTAATATAATAATATAAACATGAATAACATACATGTAGACATGTACATGTATAAGCTTTTTGGGAAATCACCAATTTTTAGGTCAGCAAAATATTTAATTCTCCTGCTATTTTCCATTGTTCATTCAACAAACATGTACTATATAAAACTTTCATTCATTCTGCATTACAACAGCCACATTCTTTTGCCAATATTTTAAATTATTATTATTCTGTTCATGTTTAAAGATACCTTCCCGTGTACAAACTGGGTGATTTGATGATATATTTGGACTAAAATCATGTTCAAACTAATTAATCTATCAAAATTTTGCTTCAAATCCTTTTTGAAACATTGTATACCCAAGGTATAAAAATCTATTAAAGAAGTCATGTTTGTGACATGTCACGTGACTTGGCTGATGTTGTACAAATGTACCTAGCAAATGGTGCAAGGCTGGAGGAGAATCCATTGCACATACAAGACAATGTTGTTTTTAATGGCTATCCATTTACAATACATGTAAAATATTGAAGCCTAATTAAATTCTCAGATTATACACTCCATGTCTTTTTCCGTGGTTTTTATCTCAGAAACTGTTGTACATTTAAGTCTCTCACTTTTTCCAAGTCCGCTCACCATCAAGTTTATCAACATAGAGTATACATCAAGCACTCCCTAACACGGAGAGATCAGAAATTTTCGCGTGCAACCTTTGACATCACTTGAGCAGACATCCCTAACCGTGGGTTTGCCGATTAGGGAAATCCTTACATTTTTGTCCTGTATGTGCTCCATGGTGTTTTTCAGGGAATCCAGTATACACCAAAATTGCCATACATGTACTTTTATTGGAAATAACCACCCAATAAATACGTTTGTGGAAAAGTATCTTTAAGTAAAAATACACAAGCTGTTTTTACTGGCAGCTACTACGTGTACATTGTACATACAAACAAACAATTGCTACTAGAACATGTATGTTAGCTTTTGAGCACCACAAGGAATATCAAGGTTCCAGTTTGGTGAATTATGGTAATTTAGAATCGTGTTCTGTAGCTTCAGAGAAACTGTTCTATCACCATTCACCTATAAATTCTTTGTTGCATTATAAAACATTAAAAAGTGACTTTTCGGTAAGGAACAGTCTCAAAATCTCACCCTTGCATTCAATCAAATGAATAACCCACTGTTAGGCCGCGCTTCCTGCGACAAAGGGGTAAGAAAATCTTGACATAATTCTGTTCACGATTCAATAAAAGAGAAATATACTTTTAACAGATTCAGAGAGTGAGATCAGCATTCACCAGCTCCAGTTAACACAAATAGTTGGATTTTGATGCAAATTAAAGACTAAATAACCTGCATTTAATTTATCATTCTCTATCCGCGTTGTTGTTAAAAAGTTCTGCTGGTTATTCATTTGGGCGCAAGTGCAGTTGTAGTTCGAATAATGTACGTTTCAAAACTATACCTTTAATTTTTTATTTAATTTACAGCAATATCTGTATAACTGGGCTAAGTTTAATGGTCCAAAATCTGCATAAAAACTGAAATAAAAAAAAAATAAAAAAAACAATTCATTATTATATTTAAAAGAGAATAAGAATTTTTTGAATAGAATAGTCAAATCGTTTCACTCTAAGCCGAGAAAACCATATTTAAAATCGCTGTAGCCTTGATGGGTCTCGATAACCCATATTTGTGGTTAGGCCTAATCATCAATAGGCGCTGAACAGCAGATCAGATTCAAATCCAATGAAAATCAGAAACATAAGATGGCATAAAGAGTTGATTATGGTAATAAATTTGTTAATAAATGTATAATTAATAATGAAGACGGGCATACGCCATACAGTGTGCTATGAGGGAAATTTTGCCCGGACAGCGGCACTACGGCCTACTCTTACTTATATCGAATTCCAACTGCCAAGGGATCTTTTACGTGCACGCCAATGTGTACACGGGACCTCGGTTTTTCGTCCCATCCGAACGACTAGACAGCTTTCCTTGTCAGCCCCTCTGTCCTGCATCACTGACAAGGGAGAACCACGCCGGAAAATCTGGATGAACTTTCTCGGCCAATGCAGGGATCGAACGCCCGACCTCCAGGCTAGCGAGCCAGCGCTTTACCCACTTAGCCACCGTGATCCCCAGACCTAGAGAAAGACATGCAATAGGCAGATTTAGCTCTTGCATAATGTATGTTTAAAACAACAATTATTTAATTGATCGTTTACAATGTAGATTTTATGGCCATAATATGACCATGACCAATCTACATGTATGGTTATTTTTATTTGACTAAAAGTTATGTCCTTGTTGACCCAATTTTTGTCCTATTTTGGTAAGGGTGTTCGTCTGTATGTACGTATGATGTATGATAATCATTGTAAACAAGTCAGAGTCGTCTTTTGATCTGTCTTGTTTTATTCAGATTGAATCCAAGCCAGAAGATTATTATCTAAAAATGATATTTTGATTTATTTTTTTAATAAAATTTTTAAATAATCAATTCATTTTAGCATTAATTAAAGATGCATTTTGTAAGATTTACTTTTAGATAAGAGCTGGCCAACCTTGCTATAGTTCAAAAATGAATATATTGCAAATTTCATTCAAATTACTTTATTCTGGGTTAAGTTATGAAGATTTCGCTTAAAAATATTGTAGCTACATGTACGTTACTTGACAAATACAACCACGAGTAAGTCTTGACTATTCATTTATTTGTTAAAATTTTAAAATCTTGTGTGTAATGTAATTCATTTAAATCTCTGCCTTCCAATGCTCTAGAGAGTTGATTATAGGCTTGCCATGTGAATGAATGTCTACATTTTGGAACCCTTACCTTCTATTTGAGTATTTGTCACTGTGATTCAATGTGATTCTTTATTTTTTGCCAAAAGGAATCATTTCTCGCCATAGCTGACACAAATTTATAATTATTCAATAATATTTTCAAGTAGAATATGGTGATTAACTAAACATGCTGTCTGCACATGTTTGAGTCTCGTAATGGCTGATCAGTTCAAACATATTTTGTGTATGTTTTTAACCGCGAAATTCTTCTTTAAAATAGTGTTGAATTATTATAAATGTGTGTCAGCTGTGGCAAAAAAATGATTCTTTGGGGAACAAAGAAGAATCATGATGAAAAATAGTCGGTAAGGATTCCAAAATAGCCTTAGAACTGAGGAGAGGACGTGTGATATTTTCATATTGTAGCTACACATGTATCAGCAGACATTAGTATTACACTGATATACCTTTATGTTTGAACAACATTGAGAAATATGTAGAAAAAAGAACGGCAGGCTACATGTACAGAAAATGTAGCCTGTATCAAAACTATAAATAATATCTGGCTACGGTACATCAACATGTAATTTTGAATTTATCCATCTGAAAATCTCTGGTCAGATTATCTATATACATTAATTATTACCCCTTTATACATGTAGCAACCATGGGTTGTGCTCACCCCATCTTCAAAATTTAATGGTGAGTTATTCATAGTCATAGACAATAATCATGAATGGGTTTGGGTTAGCTCAGCTCTTGAGTCAAAACTGAAGTCTTGTTACACTCGTCCTGTACTACAAACAAGTACAGGCTGAATCAGGTTTGAGTTGACTATCTTTTATCATTAAACTTACTTTTCATAAATTAATTCTTCGTCGACACAAAAATAATGTGTGTGTGCAGTAGATCTTGGTTTTGATCGGAGTGTAGCAAAATACAGTCGATCTAAAAAAAAAAAAAAATTATTTAAATATTTCATTCATAGTTCAATTACAAATTTAGGCTAACCGATTGACATTAGTCTGGTGCCCAAGTTGTAAATCAGCTGTCAATATGTAATCATAACGAAGATAAATGATGTTAGACATCATAAACTTACAAACAATACGAGTACACTTTATTACAAAACCATCGGTGAACTAATCTAAAATCATAACGGAAATTAACTAACAATACCATACCAATAAACAATACGAATATACAGAGGTGAACTAATCTCGGCTGTGATCGGTAGTAAAACTTATTTATTCCATACATTATTGTTTATTTAACAATAAGTAAGTGTTTAACAGTTTATTTAAAGATTAGTACAACTCATGTAATTGACTGCTATTATAATAACAACAAGGGGGATGAAACAGCCCGATCAAAAATCAGGTTAGGATGAAACAGCCCGGGGTGAAACGGTTGTGGGATGAACTGACCCACATCCAACAGGGCCTAGCTAGTAGTAGTAGGCCTACATTCACTTTTTTTTAATTGTTTGTGTTTTTCTGAGTATGATGTCTTGTCCGTGTTTTTGTTTAAATTTTGTGTGGTGCAGTCCCCCTGCATTTACTATATTAGGCTAGTTTAGAACCATGTAATTCTCAACAAATAAGGAATTTAAATATAATGTCCTGGTCAAAACAGCAGTATTATATACATGTTGTCGGACATATCATCATGGACATGGTTTCATCCATATTTTGAGTGGAGCAGCTTGAAGAGTGCACCCATCCTGTCGTTGTTGACCTGGTTCATTGAAATCATTAGGCTACTTGTATTAGTATTACACACAAATTTATCTTACGGTACATTACACGATTACAATCTTACCCTTTATAAATTCGGATGCACTGCCAATGACTTCGTGCTCATCTGCCATCCTCTGAGGTAGGTATGAAGGTAAAATCCAGGAAATCTGTACCCCGAAAACAAAATAGCCGTATTACGGTATCTTATAACACACGTTCGTTCAACAAAGTATCAGAATGTGGTGAAATACTTTCTCCTTCCGTAACAGCACAACAGGGTTTATATTATCCAAACTCAGTATTCCAGAGCACTAAAAGTTATGTATTCAGCTAAAATGTCGTATAAATACATTGGCAGTTAAAAATATTGGCGAAATTCCTTATATTAAAATCACAACATTATAAAATTGAAACTTCGATATAATTTCTATTTCTTGACGGCCATGTTTGAAAGCAACCGAACGTTTGGCATGTGACCAAAATTCCACCAATCACGTGGCACGGAACAATTGTCACCATGGTGATTGTAGAATTGACCAATGAAACGTTTGTTGGGTAGAGCTGTTTGGAAACAGTGCAGAAAGGGAATATACATGTATAATCTTCATAACCCACTTTTAATTACCACATTGTTTACATTAAATGTTACAAGTTATGTCGCCTTGACAGTTTTCACGGCACGCTCCGTTTCATATCACCTTTGCATACAAAGTTGTATTTTTAGTCAAACAGCATCATTGTTGTCGACTTTGAGATTTGACATGTCAACACATGCTTATCATATTACTGACAGATTTTAACCCGCCAAGTTTGAAAATAAATCAATAATTTTTCTTTAAACATCTCCCTTTATATAAATCTGTATAGTCTTTACCCCCACGGAAATCCTGCAATACGCTCTACAATGCGCAGTAGGCCTATAACTTACGGAAAATATTGTATTTATTTATATTTTTCCAACTGACCCCCCCCCCCCAAAAAAAAACAAAACAAACTACACTAGATCGACAGGCTATTTATTACGTTTGTACACAAACATTCCATTCTGGTCATATTTTGAATAGAGCATGAAAATTATATAGCCTATGGTGGCTGAATCCATACGGTACTTAACGTATTGCTTTAGATCATAAGACCTGTCAAACCGCATGGGTTTTCTCCGGGTCCCTGCCACTGCTAAAGTGCAATATTGAAATAAAATTGAACCATCTGTCAGTCCCAAAATGACTTAATGGTGGACGTTACACTCCATTTCGCTCTCCCTAATGCATTTTGTACAGCCGGGTTAGATGGCCAAATGGTTAGCACGTGCATGCTGTGTCATAAGGTCTACTTGTGTGGTTACGATTCCCCGGTTGTATGTGACAAGGAGTAGGGTCGCCTGTCCAACCTCATGGGTTTTCTTCAGGTCTTCCAGTTTCCTCTCACTGCTAAAGCGAATTATTGAAATAAAGTTGGACCGTGTGTTAGTCCTGAAATGACCTAGTTTGTGTCAAGTGGATGCTAATATAGGCCCAATGCAGATTTGGTCAGAGATCACGAGATGTAAAAAGGGCAAGTGCTAACACTAACCCTAACCCACAATCTCGTCATAACCTATGACGGAATCTGTAGTGGGATGTATGTAGGCCTACATCTGGTAAGAAAATTATGTACACTACACGACACTATACTCAGACATAATTATCATCTAATCTGAACTGAAAAAAAATTGTAGTTTAAGGGATTGTTGATAAGGTTAAAAGATCTGTATCTCTCTATGGTTAGTGCTAAATGATAAGGCCAGCTAAATTTTTCATCATAGGTCACAGGTCTAGTGCTAATCCTAACCCTAACCCTGGACCTAGCCCCAATGCTTACCCTAACCTACAATCTTGACAACAATCAGATGCCCTAACCTTATTTACATCTCGGCGACCTTGACAAAAATTAAGCTGGTCTTAACATGTATGTAATCTTTTCAAAACATATAATAATACTTTGTCATGGGAATGTCAGTTATTTTGGTATGTTCCTCTAGTACTAGTAGACCAATTTTTTCCTTGGTATCTATCAATGGACTTTGGGTCTTAATACTTTTTAGGATCTATGATTCTTAACTGATATAGGCCTACTGTAGCAAATATGCCAATTAAATTCTATAGATATACAACTTTTATTGGTCTTTGAACATATAACAACGCTCACGCTTAAAGTGGCATTAGGTAAGATTCAATAAAGAGCGGACAGTTCTCGCTATCATAATTAAAAATAGATAATGAAAAGAGAATATTTAGAAAATTTCAGTCAGATTATTTTACTCTGAACCAAGGAATTGGCGATATAATTATAGGCTAGTCTTGATTGTCAGTAATACCGTTGTTACAATAATAAACAAAGTCTTGATTCTCCATTTTTATGGTAACCGCATCCAGCACAAAACGTATTTGAATCCACTAAATATTGCAGGCATCTGATGGTCTTGTTAGGTTCATTAATGTCTAACAATTAAGATAACATTACACTATAAATTACAGGCCTAAAGAAAGACATGCAATAAGCAGATTTAGCTCTTGCATGATGCATGTTTAACCCATCTTTGTTAATGCTGCTGGCTCACCGAGATAAAAAAATTCCTCAGGATCTTTCATCCTGACGTTTGGTGTGCACGTAAAAGAACCCCTGACTGTCCGAATTTGCTTAAGACTTGGCAGAAATGCCACTGTCTGAGCAAAATAATTTACTTAGGCTTTGATATTTATGGTAAATGGACACTGAATTACAACAAATACAAGCTGAAAATTGATTCCCGTCTCGTTACAAACCAAATTGCTTAAAATAGATTTTTATGGCATGGTGTATTTTTGTTGACAAAACAATGTATTGGGAGGGATTCGAAGCAAACTTTTGATATATAAATCAGTTTTTGAATATGTTTTTAGTCCAGATTTATAATCAAATCACATAGGTTTTTGAAAACAAATTTTGTAAAGCAAGTGGGCTTGTAACATGCTCAGCAGGATTTATTGTAATGAATTTTAAAGCTAGCATAGATGACTTAGCTGCTGGTGGGCACATTAAGGGGATCAGACAGACCTTGTCAAAGTTTTATGCAATGAGAAAAACAATAATAAAGTAGAAACATAATATGAAGTGGTTTATTTGAAACCTGCAACAGCAAGAAAAGTTTACAACAAGGGGTTATTCCATTTGATATTAGGCCAATAATATACTTTATAGATCTATAATTTAAATATACAAGGGTGTAATAAATTCAATCTTTCACATCAGAGGAAGTTGCAACATTATCTTAAATATTTTATGTCATAATAATAAATAATAATAACCGTTTTCTTCAGCGCTGAACATTCAGTAAGTCTGACTGAATGTAAAATTCAATTACTATGATAATTTAAAGTAAAATATGATTTCCCAAACCTTATTTTACTTTGCAAGTGGTGAATAATTAAGTTCAACAAACATGTCATGGGATTAATTTGACTGAATAAATTCAGTTATCTTTTTGAAGCAAAATGGAATGGACACACAGAAGTAGGCTAAGACTGGGAGTATAATTCAAATGGAATAACCTTTAATATTTAACATAAACAGACATATTTATAACATGTTTTCCTCAACCAATACATATATTTTAAAATATTAAAATAGTCTCTCAAAATTCTTTCATATTAGGCACAATCAATTGATTATTATACTAATAAATTCATTAACTCAGTCCACTCTCATTTTTTCTCTAATTCACATAACATGATTTCTATCTAAAACGAAAAGATGTTTATACTCTTAAAACAACACTAAATGTATAAATAAGAAACAAAACTCTAAACCAGCATTTTGAATGGCCTTCATCCCTTCCAAGACATTAAAACAATAATGGCATACATTAACTTGGTCATTATATTGATGATAAATTCAATGATAATTGACATTAAAATTCTACAAAATAATCTTCCAATTCTAAATCCATATTACAAAATAAAGAATAATTGTTTACAAAATGAAATGAAACATTGCAAAGTTGCTAATCCAAAGAAAATAAATTTACAGACATTGAAAATTTATCCATTGATGTTTATTTTATTATGGCAGATTTATACTATCAAAACTGAATCATCAAATACTTTCCCACTTCTAAAATCAAAAATCTTATTATGATGGGTATGATCAATATTTATACCAAACTAATCAGGAAATATATTTTTGTGCCAGACAAATACATGTCAACGGAGAAATTAACTGCATGCAAATGGTGACTTAGTAACTTCAAAAGCTACTAGCAAAATTTATGCAATTTGTTTTGTAGATTGGTTTTATTAGTGTGCCTATAACCCAATATACAAAGAAATCAGTACTATGTCCCAGGAAACAATTTCTCTGTTTAGAAATGGTTGTTCTTTCTCTAAACATGATACCATTTAGGCCCTATTATTCATCTGTGAAGTTCAAATCACTAATTAGTTTGGTTGTACTTCCTGATGTCTAAAAATGGATGATATTCATCTTTCAAAATTGTCTAGTTGAAAATAAAATTTTAATATCTAAACATTGAAGATTAGTACCTACTATTCCAAGTTTTGGATAATGTTCATTTGAATGTCATTTACAATATATATTCATTAGAATATTATTAGGAACAGAAACCATGCCTGGAGCCTTATTCAAGAATATGTAAACTAAAATATTTTAAGAATGCAGCCTTTTCATTGACCAAGAGCTTCTTGTTATTAGTTTAGTGTTTAGCTAATTAACCATTAGTAATTTTAAAATATTTTGTGAATAATGCCTCTGAAGCTACCCCATACAACACTTTAATTCCAAGGTTTGAGAAGAAATTACATCATAGTCAATAGCAAAATATGATATTTAATCCATAAAAATTAACAAAATTTTCTTTGACCTAAATTTTTAGCCAAATTACATGCTTGGTTACTTTTAGAAAATATATTATTTGAAAGAACAATAAATATACCTGTACAATAAATAATAGCAAGACAGCAGTCAACAATAAAGCAATATATAATTTCAAAATATAATCCAGTGTAATATTATTATTAATAATCAAGTGGAAATTAAATTGGCATTATGTAAGATTTAGATAAGAACAGGCCGTTCTTGCTATAATATTTCAAAAACAGATAATGCAAAATTGATATATTGAAAATTTCATTAAAATTCAACTAAGTTACCAATGGTTGTAGTTTTGACAAGATGTCTGCATTGACCTTAACCAACCGTACTGGTCATTCAAGTCTTGGCCTCATTTCTCCATTTTTAAATTAAATCACCAAATGGCCAAACTGTTCTAATCTACTTAAAATCAGAGCAATCAGATGGCACTGAGAGTTGATTATGGTCTTGTCATGTTGATAAATGTCTAATTAATAATTTATATATAACAAAGGCCCAAAGAAAGACCTGCAATAGGTAGATTTAGTTCTTACATAATGCTTGTTTAAGAAGATGAAAAGAAAGATAATGAAGGTATTTACAATGTTCTAAATAAATTATTAATCCTTAAATAAATACTGCAAATAGTTTTCAACATAATATATGACATTATATTATTTTCATTTGCGTAATCCTTTTTGGGTTCCCTCAAAGCTACATCAATCGTTTTGGCAGAGGTTTTACAATGTACACAAAAGTGGCCTTGAATCTTTCATCTGGGTTGATATCTTCAAAATTTGTAAGACAAAACTTTAAAAGATATCTGACTAAATAATTATCTTTTCAGTTGAAAAAGATGTAGAACTGGGTCCTTTGAAGTGGATACCCAATAAATTCCACCAGGAAACCGACCCCAATTAGCTATTTGTACAAACATTCAACACACTCATACAATGTAATAAAGAAGACAAAATTGCTGTGAAATTGTCTGTATTCTTCAAAACAATGACAGCAAAATCATAAAAATCTAACAAAATAAAATAGTCCAAATTTGTCAACATTTTGATTTGGGTTTTCTCCCAGTTTGATTTCAGTTCACTTTTTTAACAGTTTCTTTTTTGTTTTCGTCATTCTTGGTTTCTTTCTTTTCAGCATGGTCTTCATAGCTGTAAAATAAAATGAATATTGTTATTGGGTTCTTTTTTTCAATTATTTGGTTTCTTTTGGACTATCTTCTTTTAAGTTACTTATTGCTACTTAAAGATACATTATGGGAGATAAGATAACGAGATGGCAGTTCCTGCTATAATAGTTAAAAACTAGATAGTGTAAAGGTAATTTGCTGAAAATTTCAGTCAAATTGATCCACTATGAGCCGAGAAAGAAGCGGGTGAAATTTTGGCATAGTCTCGGTCATCATTACTAAAATCATTAATATAAACAGCTTAGTCTCGATTATCCGCTTTTATTGATTTAATTATCAACGGCCGTTAGCGGCATATAGGAATCTAATCCAGCCAACATCGAAGGCTAGCCTTGACATCGAGAGTTTATTATGGTCTGGATAAGTTAATTAATGTCTAATTGATAATTTAGATAACATTTTAGGCCTAAAGAAAGACTTGTAATAAGCAGATTTTGCTCTTGCATAATGCATGTTTAATTGAAGACAGACCTGGAACTAATCACAGTAGTGTATACACACAGACACATTCAATTGATTAGTTCTCTAGTGGCTTATACTTATAATGCTTATACTTATAATGCCAATACACAGTACTGAGTTGGTGTCCTAGCTAATCAACAGAGCAGGACGGTGATGACAAACATAGCTTCATAGCATCCAAACTTAACTTACCAGAACATGGCCTTAATGTCACCTTTAATTAAAGCTACCAGAACAGGAATACCAATACAAGCAGGTACTAGATATAACAGAGCAGGCTGCAATAAATACAAAATAACATTAGTTCTGGTTAAAAGTTAAATTTAAGGTGAGTCAGAACAGACATGTTACATGATTCTTTTTAATTGTGTGCACAACTTTCATAAGTTTGAACATAAATGGGAAGAGAACTCTAAATTTCCAATTAATAAATTTGAATTTTGATAGGCTTCTTCCTTTTTAAAAAGAACTGGACTGTGTTAGAGCGCTCAAAAGACAATTTTGATGGACTGTCGGACAAACATGATGACATATACATCCACATAAAATTTAAAAGATCGGTAATATGGATAAAATTTATTTATAACTCACCTGAGCATGTTTAAAGAAATGCATGACTAAAATGGTTGTAAGAAGACCCAAGATATATGCAATAAATCCAGCATAGAAATACGTCTTACTCTTTATCTTTGCTTTCAAACTGAAACAGAACACATATATTTTAAAGTTATGTCTAGTCAACAGAATAGAAATATAAGAGCAAACAGTATTCCATGGCACCAATAATTATCTAGCAAAGATCTGCTTAGAACTGAGTAATCATCTATTATTTTTAACAGTAACTTCCATGTTATATAATATGTAAAATAATTAATGTTATTTAAGAAAAGACAATTACAGTTATGTTGATAGAACTTTAGCAACCAACATGGTCGCACTGCTTCACATTTACTTCCAGAGTACATTTATAACTGATAATATGACCAAGTAATCATTTAAAGATACTTTCCCTCAAAAGTATTTATCGGGTGGTTATTTCCAATAAAAATATGTCAATTTTGGTATATATGGAAAGTAGAAACATCCAATCTTACTAGAAAAATACTGGATTCCATGAAAAACACGCATGGAGTGCATACAGCACAAAAATATAAGGGTTTCTCTAACCGACAACTCGACAATTAAGGATGTCTTCTCGAGTGACGTGAAAGGTCGCATACGAAGATTGTCTGATCTCCCATCGTTAGTGAGCGCTTGATGTATATGTTGAGAAACTTGATGGTACAACAGTTTCTGAGATAAAAACCACGGAAAAAGATGTGGAGAAATTATTGGGTTTTGATATTTATGATAAATAATCAGCGATTAAAGACAACATCGTCTTATATATGCAATGAATTTTCGTCTGGCTATGCACCCGTTGCTAGTAACTGTGTCAGCCAAGTCACGTGAACAAACATGACTTCTTTTGTGATAGATTAATTAGTTTGAATATGTTTCTAGTCCAGTTTGTATGCGGAAAAGTATCTTTAGACCCATTTTAGATTTTATAAATGGAATGGGGTTTAACAACTTTTTGATTTCGCAGGAAACATATAAAACTATGTAGTGATGATTGCCAACAATCCATCACTTACAGTATTATTTACTCACCTAAGATCAAATCGAAGTAGAAGAGCTATGAAGATACCAGGTATAACAATGTCACCCAATCCTAACATAGCAAAATTATTGGCTGCTAATCCTTTCTCTAAAATATCCTGAGGAAACACCACTAAAAATAAGACAATATACTTTAAAATAATTGTCAGATTCAAACATACAGCTTTCCCTGTCTTTATGATTTGTAAACTGCCATTGCATATTAAGATATTTAGTTATCTCAATTTGCATTAATTTTTTTACCAACAATCTTCAACACAACAAAGATTTGTTAAGTGTTATACCTGTTGCACTTTTCTAGACTTACTTAGACTTAACAATAGAAATAAAACAAAATTCTAGTGGTATTTCCAGTTGACAACCTGCATCTTGTATGGTTTAAAATAATGCGTTAACAAAATAATACTCCAAGGGGGGTAAAATCTCATTACAGATACATAATATAAAGGAAGATTAGATAAAGAGCCGGCAGTTCTCACTATAATAGATAAAAAACTAGATGATGTAAATGGATTATGCTGAAAGTTTCATTTAAATTGCTTCACTCTAAGCAAAGCAAATATCTAATTAATAGTTTATATTACATTTCAGGCCTAAAGAAAGACCTGCGATAGATAGATTTACCTCTTGCATAATGCATGTTTAAGCAATCTTTTTGTTTAGTGACAGGCAAGAATATCAATATGTCCCTATCTATCTCTGTTAAATAGCCATTTGACCTATTCAATAACAGACTTTTACTGATTATAGACTAAAATACAGTGTATTATTATACAGTATTATGAAAAGACTAGGAACCTTTGATTACTTACATTTAATAGGAGCATCAAATGATTTAGCTACTGTAACCATGACATTTGTACCAAACACCTGTAATAAACAATTTATATCATATACAATGCATAGTACAAATCCAGGATTTTTAAGCACCACACAGTAAATAATCAAGTTCTTTGGGTTCAAATTCCTGGCAATTTCAAGAAATGTGGGAACCATACTCATTCATTTAGGAGAGAGGTCATATAGCCCATGACTGTTTCTCAATCTTCTTGAACTGTACGGCAAAGATCCAAATTTGAATTCTTTGGCCTGAGTATTTACATAATCATTCATTTTCTTCAGACGCAAAAATCACGTTACATATAAGTGGTAGTAAAGGTGTGTTATGTAGTGCACACATTTTGTCTTTATAGATAATGTATACATACCCAGAAGATGTCATAGATGAAGAGACCCCCTAATAATATACATCCAGTACTGATTTTATTCAAAGATAGAATTTCTACACCATTTACAGCAAATGCTAAACCAAATAAATTATTGGCGATCCAATGCTGCAATATACATCACATTTGGTATATTATATATTATAGCAAATGTTTTTAATATTTTGTGAACAAAATAATCAATTTTTTTTTCTTATAAATTATGGTTGTTTCATATTTAAAGATGCATTATGTAAGAGATAAATCTGCCTAATGTAGATCGTTCTTTTGGCCTCAAATGTTATATAATTAGTTAATGAGACATTTATTCACATGCCAAGTCCATAATCAACAGCACGCTTTTGATTCTTAACAGATTTAAACATGATTGCTAGTTAATCATTTAATTTAAAAATGGATAATCAAGACTTTGTTTATTATCTTAACAAAGATAGCATTGTCAATCGAGACTACACCGTTCTTCTAACAGCAATAACTGCGCTCAAACTGAAGTAATTATCTATTTTTTTTTAATATTATCGCCAGTTCTTTATCTAAATGGTACATAATGCATCTTTAAGTAACATTCTTACATAATGCAATTTCTAATACAACACAAAGGATTGTGTGGCCAAATGACTTACCAAAAACATTAGATTTCAAGGTTCTACACCTCTTCTCAGGATTTAAAAATAAATGCATAATGGAGTTACTTCCCTTTGATCAAGGAACCATAAACATGCAGTAGCCTATAATGTATTTATTGTTTAATTTTTGAAATTCAAACAGGTGATTTTGTGGTATCTCAGAACCAGAATATTCTTTCTATCTAATATGTTTTGTCTTCATGTATCTTTAAATCATTTTTTGGCCTCTAATGAAAAATTCCATCCCAATACAATTGCTCCAGAATAATCATGGTTTACCATGAAAAAACTGTTGTAACGGTCAATTGTCTTTCCTGAGCATATACAATCTCTAGTTTTACCTTCTTGACTAGATACCACACTCCTACAACAGCACAACCACCTAGAGTTACCAAATCTTTACGATCAAATTCATAGTTCATCAATTCTATAAAAATACAAAGATATTAATGTAAAAGTACATATGGAATTAAGCCTATTACGCAAACATACCAAAATCTGACTTGATGGAGATGGGCCACCATTACTCAAACAAATTAAGTACAGGTAGTAAAAGTCCAAAAATAACCATTTTAACAATGACAGCTTGGGGAGAACACAGAAAATAGTGTGACTGTAATTAGTGTACCGGTTAATCAACTTTCTAGTTAGAATACTGATGGACTATCTCCTGTATATCGTGATAAAACTATCAAAATCTTTTTTATAATAAACTTGATCAAATTTATACCAAATTTCATAAATAATAATTATTAGAAATAAAATAGTTTGGTATTATACTTGCCTTCTTTATTTTCTCCTTTCCCTTGTGTAAAGATTAAATGATATTCCTTATTAGGAAATGCAGATGGCATCAATCTTGATATAATTGGACTGTCAAAAATTAAAAGTTATGCAATAATAAAACTTTGTAACATGGACGGGGAATATTCCTTTGTTCTTTTCATTGAATAAGCAGATTGTTTTCCCTCAAGTAGATTGGGTGGAGCTTAACCGTGCAATAACTAGACATGTTCAATGTTATTGCACTCTTTTGCTGGTTTACACTAGTTTTAGTAGAAATCACATAGAGAAGTGGGGTGAATTTTCTGTGCAATAACAACAAGCATGTTGAGCAGGCGTCAATGTTACAACTCATTTATTATTATTGTTCGATTTATATAGCGCTTCATTACACGTGAAGTGTTTCTAAGCGCATATCACAAACATATACTTCAAACACACAGAAACAATCAAAATCAGGAGAACATAATTAAACACAGCTGCCTGTTAGGCGCTATTATTCAAAGGTTTATATCCAACAAATCAACCGGCTAATCTCTATATCGAACTCAGTCGAGGTATTACCTGATGAACACCTACACAAAGTAGAGTTCAAAAATAAAAAACGAAGTTTAAAAGAATCAGCTTCATTAACAAAAATTAAACAATCAAAAACTAAACAGATAAATCAAATTCAAACAAAACAAATAAAACAAAGAAAATGAAAAGAGCAGTTCATTACCATTCTACATTAACAAAATAAAGGAAAACAACTTGTGAAATTTTTTTCAAAAAATAAGAGCAACGTAACACTAATGTTAATACTTTTTTAACGAACATATCATAAATATAATTAATTTTACCTATAATATATATTTCAGAAATCAGACTTTATTTTGCAAAAAAATTAATCCAAAGAGTTGTGTACGACCATTATCAATCACTTCATCAAAAAAATGGCAAATACCTTAGAAGAAGCACCCCAAAGACATGGTCAATCTTACCACCATTCTTAGCCAAATTTTTGATTTGCGGAAGGTGGGTACCAGTGCCATACAAAAGACCCTATTTCAAATTCCCGCGCTTTCAGATTCTTATCATATCCTTCTTTTTGACGTGAATGATATATACTTTAACTTTAATTTTCAACAATGAAACAAATATATTTACACTTTGACTTCCATAAAGTTTAAACCAATGGGCTAAAGCAGTCAAGATATGAGAGGTACGTGTGGATTTATAGCAGACTTCATTCGTTAACCGGTTTAACATCTCGGCCTACGACCTCGATGTTTAAACCTGTTAATTCACGAAAGCTGTGCTTATAAATATAACATAATATGACATTTTAACATGAAAAACCTGTCCCAATTTTTTAAAAATCAAAACTAACTTATTTATCTTGACAAAACAGTGAGCACAAAGAAATCACCCATTTTAATTAGATTTTCTGGTATGAATTAAAATAAAAATTTTAAATAACACTTTTAGAAACTGAACTTGAAATACACAGGATACAATTATATTTTCTTGGCAAAGACTAGAGAATCCGGGTCGAAATGTCATTCAGTAGCTGTTTTCTATAGAATTGGGTACTGTGTACATGAACAGAAAAATACTGGTATATCCAATATTCTTATACTTATAGAACATTATGATAATTTGATTGGTCTATTATAGCATCATACCATAATTTCTCGAAAAGGCCAATGCTATTTGAATGCCACACAACCAAACAGACACAAACTGAAATAATTACCAATTAATTATTCTGTTTGAAAGATTGGATATCGGACACAAATTTGACACCAATATTATTAAAACTATGCAAATTTTGACATGGAGCTCTAAAGGCCAAAATGAATCTCACCTTGCAATATGCGCCATCGCTAAGACTCCCAAGAAAAAGAAATAAACAGCTAACAATAAATTGATGTATTCTTTAGAGAATATCTGAAAAATATGAATTAAAAAATATCATTTATACAAAACACCCATATTATGAACAAAGAAATAAAATCAGTAGCACTAATAATAATGATAGTACTAGTATTGTCCTCTCATATGATTTCAATATCATGTAATATAAGGCACCGTTGTACCCAGTTTGTGTTTATCTTGAAATTTCAAAACCAAACCCTTTCTAGTATAAAAAGTGTAAGCTTATAAATAGATATTATAGCTTATTTTACGAGGTAAAACACATAGATGTCATTAGTAAATATAGCATGAAATCTTTTTGACCTATGATCTTTCAAAAGAAACTACTACTGGTCTCCGAAATGTCACAATGTTGATTAAAGAACAGTACTGTAGGATTGTACAATGATACATGTACATGTAGTTACCAAAGATCAAATGAGTAGACTTTAAGCTACAGATCTCGTTCGTATAAAAATATTGTATTAGTCCATATTGAAGCTTACTTACCTTAAATACCATATAAATACCAAACAATGTACAACTAGCAATAATTGGAAACATAGCAGCATCTTTAGATGACATGGTCTCTGGCTTCTCCCCCGAATCCTACAAATATTTTAATTTATTAACTCTAAACAATATTGGGAGTTGGGGGTCAACATAATTTCAGAAATTCTTTGAGTTTGATTTAATAATAATCATGAGACTTAGAATGTGCTAAAATTCACATCACAATGGGGAAATGCTCTAAGCATTGACCACACACTAAGCACACATAACAAAAAAATCACACGATAATGTCCCATTTATAGTTAACATTTGAAAAGATGGGTCTGGAGGTTTGATTTAAATAAAGTTAATGTTTCAGCAGACTTTAGTTTTTATGAAAAAGATCTGGCACCAAAATGTTTTCAATTTGTATTTGGGTGTCTCAACCAGGCACTGATCTGTAGAAGTTAAGAACGCAGGGAACTTGATTTAACATATGGATAAACAATATCTTGTAGATAGGGTGGAATCATTCTTGATACAATCTGAAATGCAATTTAAATTCGATCCGTTCCTGAATGTAGAGAGTTTAGAGCTGGAGATATGTGAGAACACAGTTTAGTCCTAGTGACCATTCTGGCACAGTTGTTCTGAATGCTGTTTTTTCGAGGTTCCTGTTAACAGACTATTTCTGTAATCAAGTCTTGACATGATCATACAGTGTACAAGGATGGCAGTGGCATCCCTAGTAAGGAGGTGCCTTATCAACGGTATGTTTTTTAGGTGATAGTGTGAAACCTTGCATATAACTATAACTGATGTGGGAGTCCACATGAACACCAAGGTTTTTTACAGATGAAGCAAACACTTCTGACATGGTAACATGTTGAAGGGCTTCCGTCCAACCATCATGATGGCCATCAATGATCTGGGCCCTCATTCATGAAAACTTAAAGGATGTAACATCTTTTGGTTTGGTAAAAATTATATCTTTTTTTATTACTAGTAGTTTTTGAGATTATTTTAAGTGTGTGGTGGCACTACATGAATCGCTACTAGTATTAGCCTTAGAACCGAGATGAAGGAAAAGCCTTATTTTGATAAATATTAATATTAGTTGTCTATAGCGTCAGTCTGTAGCCCTACGGATAGCAGACTGAGCCCAATAGAATCTGTTACTAAAGTAACTACTGTCTGAGTCTTGGTAAATTTTAAACAGAATTCTTCGATTATGAACAAACTACTTAACTTTGGTTATTATAAACTTACCTGTGTGTTTGTAATCAACTCCCGTTTGATAAAATCCATTGCACAACTAATTATCACAACGATGAAAACAAGTTCTCTCTTGAAAAATTGAAATATCACAAACTTTTCCCAGAGAATAATACCAATATGGCAGATGGTTACGTCACTCTGCGGAGGATATCATTTCGTATTAGGGGTGACAGCATAGGAAATTCAAGTACAATTACGACAAGAATCCATGACGACTCGGACCAAAGACCACCCGGTTCAAGACCAGTCGGACCAACTGATAGACCACTCAGCCCAAACAAATAGACTACTCAGACCATACAAAAAGACTATTCGGACCCAACAGAAAGACGACTCGGACCAATAATATAGTGTTGTTTTAATAAATTGATAATTGCGTTTGTTTTAATATGATTATTCGAACCAATAATAAAGTGTTATTTTAATAAATTGATAATTGTGTTTATTTTAATATGACTACTCGAACCAATAATAAAGTGTTATTTGAATAAATTGCTAATTGTGTGTGTTTTAATATGACTACTCGAACTAATAATAACGTGTTGTTTGAATAAATTGATAATTGTATCCCAAATCGCAAAATATCGAGAACCACACTTGTAGTCACGTTTAAAAAGGTGTATATTATAAACGTCCGGTCTTCGTATTATTATGGGCTGTTTATATTAACGCATCAAGGGCGGATAACTTGAAAACGTGTCTCCCTCCCCCCCATATATTAACCCAGTGGTTAGTGGGGTAGAACGGAATGAAACCACTGGGGATACCGCGAATGTGGAAAAAGTAAAATTAGGCCATCAGATAAGAACAATATACCCGTATATGTAGAAACTGTCAAAAGTCTGGACATACCGAGTCTCATTGCAAGAGTAAATAAGAAAAATTAGATTGATATTTTTTTTTGTCACCATTATTAATTAATTTTAAAACTAATAGTTGATTTATTTTCCGTACACAAAATTGAACTAAACAACTCTAAATATAAGAATTCCGTATAAGAATTATTTGCTTCTTTGTATTGTGATTTAATAATAAATAATTAGCATATTGTCTAGCCTAATAATATAATTTAATTCGTCCGACTGGTCTTGTTTTGGTCCGACTGGTCTTAGTCTGAGTAGTCTTTGGTCCGAGTGGTCTGGATACCTACGACAATTGGCATAGAGTTTGAGCGTTCGCACACATAACTACCCGCATTTTAGTTACCGTCTTTTACATTCTAGTAAAATCTCTGCAAATTTTATAGCTTTACTTTTTGAAATATTTTGTTCTAATTATTTGATTAGCGATTCGGATGGGATAATTTACTTTTGAACACGCATGCCGCACAAACACAACTATACATTTGTTTTACGGGCTTCATCACACTTCAGTCAAAACTGTCGAATCGAGAATTAATGTTCCGCTTCTTACGGGGTCATACGGGCTTAGTATCATTATATACCCACCCGGGCACCCAATAGGCACGTTGAGGGCTGTCGCAACACGCTTAAAGATGTTACTGAAGCGGTTATTATTCGATCGAAAGAATGCGTATAAAATTAAAAATACACTCAGAGAATTCGGAGGTAAGCTTCATGATCCTTGTTAAATTATTTATAACAGAAAGAAGATAGGATATTTATAGTTTATATATGACTTTATTTTTACGAGTATCTGTGCAATCAGTGATAATTTAATTGTGAAGAAAATTTGATAGACTGGCGATCAATGGTTTCCATATAAATCTCCTATGTAATTGCCTTCAATTGATATTTTTCGTCGTCCAAACCCATATACGATCAAAATGATCGCGCTGTCAAACTATCTTTCAATGTTAACCAACCCCCGCAACAGGTATATTGGATTCGACCAATACGTCACGAAGATATTGTTGACATCGACTCTGTCGAAATTACAAGTAAATTTTCAAATTTTTCAAGAGAGAACTTGTTTTCATCGTTGTGATAATTAGTTGTGCAATGGATTTTATCGAATGGGAGTTCATTACAAACACACAGGTAAGTTTATAATAACCAAAGTTAAGTAGTTTGTTCATAATCGAAGAAATCTGTTTAAAATTTACGATGGTTCACACAGTACCGTCAGAATTACTGAGCAAGCTGTTTGTGTAAAGAGAAAATGATGCATATTAGTAACTATAAATCGTCTTTTCTGTAACCTGTAAGGAAATGTAAACCAAATAACAATTTTATTATAATAAGTGTCTTATTAAGACTAATAAATTTTACTAATACTAATCTATGAATTAAATCCTGTGTTTACCTTTTGTTCCTTATGGTACTTCACAGAACGGAAAGAACCAATAAATATGGGGAAAATGGCCATCAAGAATAAACTTGTATATGCCACGGCCATTCCCTCTGGTGTTGCTGGAATTTTACCGGTGCCATTGGTGGCGGTTTCGTTTAAAGTTGCGTTTACAGTTACTTCTTCTGCCATGCTGTCTGCCATGTTGCTGTGACGTACACGAAGATAGCTTTGATTATCTAGTCATGTCCGGAATTGCGACGTCTACGATCCAAGTTTTTTCTTACACGTCATCAATAATCTTAGTCGAGGTCTTCCAGCTGGAAAATTAACGTTTTTTCAATTTCCCCTAAGTTTAATCATAGAACTAGAACACTAACGGGAACGCCCACTCGGTGACGTATAACGGTGATGACATAATTATGTTGTACATCGCATGCGCGAAGTCAATAAGGCACAAGTAACTTCCGGCCGTATGTCAACATGGCAGAAGCGTTAGACGTCCTGGAATTTCAAGAACTTGACGGTGTAATAGATGTAAGTTATTCATAATTTTAATGAGTTTTTTTTAAATTAGTTATATAACATACCATCGGGAGTATAAACCATTTATTTTCGGACATTAAATTATCCGAACACACGTTTGTGTATCATTTTCTACTACATATTATAAAATTATTATTAATAAATTATGATGACATTCACATTTTATTTTTTTTATTTATTGTTTTGTGTATATTGTTGTTAGCCTTTGGCATGTCCGTGCCAGTTTTGGCTGGTTTCCCAGTGCCCTTTTCTTGTTTATAACAAGGGGTTTTACATAGGCTAAGCCTGTTCCCCAATCCCATTCAGACATCTTGAATAAAAATATTGTTTATAAAAAAAAAAATGTGTATTCTTTACTACAGCTTTTCTTTGCTAAAGATTTGTTTGAGACATCTCAACCTGTCGTTCCAGTAGCATCCGTAAGTTTTCTACATATACAACATACATGCATATAGTCACATAGTGTTCGTAGCAAATGGGCAAGTTATGAAACTCATTATAGTCTCGACCATGTCTATATATTTTTTTTACTTCTCAAACGATCAAATTGCTTTGGAAATGAAATGAAATGGGGTTTAACGTCCTACTGTTCTGCTCCTATGCTGGGCTAATGAAGACGGGCATACGCCATAAGGTGTGATTTAAGGGAAATTTTGCCCGGGCAGCGGCTCTATCACCTATTCTTATATCGAATTCCAACTGCCACGGGATCTTTTACGTGCATTCCAATGTATACAGGTGACCTCGGGTTTTCGTATCATCCGAAGGATTAGACAGCTGTCCTTGTCAGGCCCTCCGTACTGCATCACTGAAAAGGGGGAACCACGCCGGAAAATCTCGGCCAATGCAGGGATCGAACACCCGACCTCCAGGCTAGCGAGCCAGCGTCTTACCCACTTAGCCACGTGATCCCAAATTGCTTTGGAACAGTTTCTTTTATTTTGTATAATATTTACTTTAAAGGGACAATAACACTCTTGCTGGCTTGAAAGCTCCAGAAAATAAATAATATCTCTATCTAAGTACTAGATGTTTAAGTGTCCCACCTGTTGTGTAAATTATCCATTACATCCTATTTTACTTGTCCAGAGGGTTCGAAAATATTTTTAAATCGAAGTTTCATTTGAAAAGGTTTACGTTAGACGTTTCAAAGCATTATGTTGAATTGTTTATATAAGGTGTGTTAAGATGAAATTTGTATCATCAATTAATTGAAATATTCTAAAATAGCCTTCAAAGGCTAATATCTTCGCTCGCAATAGAGTAATTTGAATGAAATTTTCAAATTAGTCATTTTACATTTTTTATCTTCGAACTATTATAGCAAGAATGGCTAGCTCTTTATCAAAATCTTACATAATGTATATTTAAGAATAATTTAATACATTTATAAAGCTCACACATTACAAGTTGTGCACCTGTATAAAATTTATATAAATTTTGTTATCATTGTTAATATTTTATACTGAGATGCAATAAAAATAATACATCACTTTTATAAATGGATGAATGTAAATCTTGTTTGAAATGAATCCAGGTTTAACGCCCTACTTAGTACTTTTCAGCTCAATTTTGTTTTAAAGATTTGCTTTAATCTTGCAATTAAGGATGTAACAACATCATATTACGATGATAACATGTGAGAATGTTTTGAAGATTGCGTAAACGCACCCCGAACAATTCTCAATCAAAAAAATTAAACCCAACAGAATCAGTATGTTGATTTTTCTGGTACACACGTGGGGTATATAATGCAGCTTTTAAAAAGCTAGGTTTTGTGGAAGGTGCAAAGTTATGCCACGTCATCTCAGAGGTGCTATTTCATTGCGTCTCGATATATTTTGTTTACTATTATCAACCTGGCCCCAAGTTCACAAAGCATTCCCAGACTTAAGAATTTGCTCAACCTTCAATCACTGTTTTTGAGAAATATCTTTGATCCAGAAACACAAAACTTTGCACAGTTTCTTATTGATATATTTACATTAAAACAACAATAGTTAGTAAAGTGCTATATTTGAGTTAAAATAAGACAAACAATTTTGAGTAAAACCTTAACTTAAGACTGAGAATGCTTTGTGAACTTGGGGCCTTGTTTTCTTTTCATTACTTATTAACTACAATACAGTAATAACAAGAAATACAAAATCTGTAGAACACTGCTGATTAAGTTCTAGATTTAATCCTAGATTCAATCACATTTATATTTTTATACTTCCAATATTGATATTAATTCCAATAGAGCCAGGAAATGTTTAGTTTAATTATACACTTTCTATTTTGTTGTATGAAATTATCTGTATAATCTGTGTTTTTGTTACTTTCATTGTGTGAAATGCTTGCAGCAAAGTGCTGTAAATAAAATACCTGACATCACTGATCACAGTTTAACTCTATAACTTCTCATTTGACCTCAAATCTATGTGGAGTCGAGTTAGTTGGAAGAAATAAATCAAAATGGAGTGAAATCTACATTTTAATCAAATTCATACCACATGATTATATTATATCACTGTTTGCTCGTTTATATGGCAACTATATATTATTGCTAAGCTATTTTTGAATTGTAAATTACATTTACAAGTATGTAAATATTGATTCTTTGAATTATATATTGTCAATCAAAATCTGAATATGCAATGTGCTATGTAGCCATATATGTGAAATAAACTATTATTATTACTATTTACTTTCTCTGTAAATCTCTGTTAATCTGTCGACAACTTAAACAAATTTCTTTTTGAGTGTCCTCAACAAAACTATTACATACAGAAGCAAGTACACAGCTTTCGTAATTTCTATGTTGACTTATTTGTGTTCATGAAAATATCAACCTGTCTGATATATCTTACAGTTGTAGTCTGACATTGAGAATAAGACTGTAAATGTTTTGATGTTATGCCCCCACATATCTTCATATTCTCAACAGTTCTTATAAGTAAATCTATAGATGTAACTTTAATTTGAACAGGAAACAAAAATTATTATATTGTACTTCACAATTCAAGTCCTTGTCAATGGTTAAATGGTATGTTACACTTTTATCTTCAGTTTTAAACAGATAGATATAATCACTTGAAGACTGACATAGCCACAAAGCAGACATTTGACATAAAAATGATTTCTGCAACATCTGAAAGGTTACTTCGTTCATATGTAAACATTGAGTTTCCTCGGTTTTCCTTGGACTCTGAATAAAATAGACAAATTCATAAAATTCAATTAAAACAAGAAGAATTGGATTCTGATACATGTATTCATAATTTTCTCGGTTTCTGAATAAAATCGAAAAAATTACAAAAGTAAATATAAAGAAGAATCGGATATTCATACAAGTATTTATAAATAAAATTATGGGAGATTACAGAAAGAGCTAGCAGTTCTCATTATAATAGTTAAAAAATAGATAATGTAAAGGGAATTTGCTGAAAATTTCAGTCAAATTCATCCACCCTGAACCAAGTATTTAATGATTAAATTTTGGGCCTAGCCTCGATCAGCATTACTATAGTCGGTACGATAAAAAAAAACCATGGTCTCGATTATCGATTTTTTGATTTAATCAGAAGTAGCAGACTGGGCTCTAATTCAGTATATATCACAGGCTAGCGATGCCATCGAGCGTTGATTATGGTCTGGATAAGTTAATTAATGTCTAATTAATAATTTAGATAACATTCCAGGCCTAAAGAAAGACCTGCAATTGACAGATTTAGCTCTTGCATAATGTCTGTTTAATATTGATGAATTAAATGTTCATATACTGATCTTTTATAAGGAAACATCGAATGTTCATATTCATAATTAAGTTAACAGAAATTTAAGTTACCGGTGACTTCCTTGGATTCAATTTCTTTGTTGTTACGCTTTTCTGTAGAAGAATTAAGGTTGATAGTCTCCCTAACCCTTCTTTTAATCTTCGATATGTGGACCCAGAATTTTTGTAAACATCTGAAATATTCATAAAATCAAAATAAAAAGGTTCCTACATACAAAACAAAAGGTTCAGATATAATTAATTTTTTTTCCATGCTTGTTGATTATTCATACCGGGAACAAGATTATTTCGGAATTTAAAAGTAAAAGGATTTGACAGGTCAAGGTCAGTCATAAATAAATATACAATTTTAATTTTTATGGAGCTGCTCAGTTAAAACTTTGACCTTTAAAAAAAAATAATAATTAGTAATTCATAAAATTAAAGTAAAAGAAGATTGTTGAGAGAGAATCGTCATGCTGTCACACACTCATCGGGTGTAGTATTCGTCAATTTCATAACAAATTGCAAGTAGACTAGGCCTAGCTACGGCACTAATGTAAACAAACCTATATGCATACAACTTTGATGAGAGAAAGGGTAAAATCTAACGGGCAAACATGAAAATACAGACATTCAGCTAGTATGGGTTTAACTTAACTTCAATGTAGGTTGTCAGGGTGGACTGCCAACTAGAATCTACATAATTAATTTCTTTTGATTTGAGTTTTCACTTACTTTTTCAACGAAATAATCCGGCTCAACGTGTCTTGAACATATTGTCAAGGTCTTGTCATTTATCGGGTCTGATCTGGTAGACTGTATGATACGTAATGATTCTCTCTCCACTCTATGTTGTTTTTGGGTAAGCGATATAATGATCAACCCCGATTTCTTTTATTGCAGGCGGAACATCCGAACAAAACACAATTCGCGCCAGGCATTTTGTTAGTGCGAGCAGAAACCGGAAGTAAGCTGTGCCCGATATCAGCGTCAGAGGCCCGCCGTCACATAAGGTAGTGACGTCACACGGTGGGCGTTCCCGTTAGTATTCTAGTTCTATGGTTTAATAAGCCATCGACCGGTTTATTCGACTGACTATTTGATTTGGACTTAGGGTCGACTCCGTTTTTTTATTCGGCCACAAAGATTAATATGAAATGGGGTTTAACCTCAAGATATCCCGTGAAAGCAATTAAATCATTAAAGTTCGGTAGAAAAAAAAAATAAAAAATAAAAAAAAAAATAAAATAAAATTGAATTGTTGGTTTTTCAATTATTAATTCTAATTTGTCACAGGTCCAATCCATGGACCACTGAAAATTCACCCGAAGAGTACGGCCGTTTGCCTTTAACATTAACACATTTTTAGTAAATATTTTTGTTATTATTTTGTTACATATTTATGAATACGGTTGGATAAATTCTGCAATTTAATTTTTTTTAAATTTTGCGCCGTATTGAATATTTAAGATTTTTATCGATTATCTATTGAATTGTGGCCCTTGTCCACTATGCTTTACTATAGTGCTTGGAAAGGTAATAGGGTTTAACCGGGATGTGGTCATAACGGCCCTATGCCATAACGGCCAAAACTAGTTCGGTCATAAGATCAAAACGGCGCTACTTTAGTCATAACGACTGAACAGTTTGGTCATAACG